AGTCATCAACTAGGGTAACAGTGACTTTGCCTGTCACGCTGCACCCAGGACGCGTACAGTCCCATATAATAATCATACATTTGAGACTACAACTTGTGTCATATTCCACCGTCGATTTCAACATGCAAGTTGTCTTTCTCATTATACTGTCACTTACATCAATTTTTGAAGCACGAGATCTCTCAGCTCGTTCTATCAACGAAGATGTTCCCATTGAGGAACGCGCAGTTAGCCGTTCTATCTTTCAGCATGAGTCGACGGGGGCTCAAATTGATTTTGTGACGAACTCTGGTATTTGCGAGACGACTCCCGGCGTTAATCAGTATTCTGGCTATCTATCTGTCGGCAGTGAGCAAACAAAAATTACCTCTCCCAAGACTATTACCCAAACTAGCTAACTAAAACAAGCCGATGAAAATATGTGGTTCTGGTTTTTCGAAGCTCGAAGGAATGCCTCGTCTGCTCCTCTAGCAGCTTGGTTTAATGGTGGTATGTAACACAAATCTGGCTAAATTCATCCCGCCGGACCTTATACGCTTACTGTGCACTTTGTATCGTGTATTGTGTATTAAAGTAGCAACGCGACTAAGCTTCAAGTATAGGTCCTGGCTGCTCGTCCATGGTTGGCCTTTTCCAGGAGAATGGACCGTGTCATTTTGTCAACGGGGCTAGTGAGCCATCTCTCAACCCATACAGCTGGAATGAATACGCCAATATGCTCTACAGTGCGTAAATCATTTGCAACAGCGAAAGCGAGAGCGATAGACATGAAAATTGACAATATACATAGTTGACCAGCCGATCGGGGTGGGATTCAGTTATGGGAACAATCCCGTGAACTCGACTGTAAGTGCGGCACCCCTAGTCTGGAAGCTTTTGCAGGCATTCTACGCCAAGTTTCCGGAGTATGAAAACCGGGATTTTGGGATATTTACAGAGTCGTACGGCGGTCACTATGGGCCGGAGTTCGCGTCCTACATCCAAAGCCAGAATGCAGCCATTGCATCTGGTACTCTTGCGGGAGAAGTGATAAATCTCAAAGCAATGGGAATAAATAACGGTTGGATCGACGCTACAATCCAGAATAAAGCATATATTGACTTTTCCTACAACAATACTTACAGACCCCTTATAACGAAGACTCAGTACGACAACTATCTCGACGCATACAACACTCGTTGCCTCCCAGCTCTAAAAGGATGCAACGATACTGTTAGTGAAGATGCAGCTTGTAGCAACGCGGCCACTGAATGTTTCAATTCTATAGAAGGACCACTTAGTAATTATGGGAACTTCGACGTGTATGACATACGAGCTCCTAGCAACGACCCTAATCCTCCCAGCACATTTGTCACGTATCTCAATTCTCCGGCTGTCACAAGTGCGATTGGTGCCAAGAGCTCATTCATGGTATGCTCTAACGATGCGTACGATAAATTCTCAAACTCTGGCGATAGTAAGTGATTTTCTCCTCAAATCATACAGAACGATTCTAACAAATCTATTGTCCCCCGTTCATTTATCCCTACGCTCTCGAATTTAGTGCAATCTAACTTGACGACTCTTATATGGGCGGGCGATGCTGATTGGATTTGCAATTGGTTTGGAGTTTTAGCTGCCACCGAGTCCATTGAGTTCTCAGGTGCTGCGGAGTTTAGGAGCAAAGAGGAGGCGGACTACACTGTTGATGGGAAACCTGCTGGTAAATACAAGACAGTCGACAATTTGAGCTGGCTACGTGTTTATGGTGCTGGCCACGAAGTTCCGTATTACACACCTGAGTTATCATTGCAAGTTTTTCGCCAATTGATGGGCAGTAAAAGTATTTCAAGTACATAATAGGTCAAATAATCTGCCACGGATTTAAAGCACAAATATTCTGAACACGGCGAAACAATTGGAAATCGTTGTCAAAGTATACGACATCAAAACTTGGCTGTAAGACGAGGCCTACACAAATAAAATAATTTATAATCATGGTTGCGACAAAAGTAGGAAAATTGTTACAATTATCATATTTCCATATATTGTAAAAGTTCCACTCATTGCGAAATTTGTGTTTACGATCAATGGTAAGTCGAGTGGATGGTAGCCTCTTCATTTCCCAATAAGTCTTGGAATGGATGACGACCCCGAGCGTGTTTAGTGACCTTATTAATTAATTAATTTGTAATAATTAGCATCGTGCCCGCGCTCAGTACGTCAGTTCCTCATGTGCCGGTTAGCCCCGTCTAAATAAAACTACCCGAAATATTTTTATAAATGGTTTAATGAGTACGTAGCTACATAGCTATGGGACATGCCCGGTGCTATGATTACATGTTGGATGACTTTTGATGTTTGGGACACTCACTCTGAATCTCGTTTGCAAATACCACTTTTAGGTATGTTCGCTTGCTCAAACAGTCGATCCTCCTCCATAAGTACCCCCTATAAGTAAATTTGAACCTTTGAGTATCCAAGCATCACTTTGTCATTCATGTTAACTCGCACCGCGAGGAATGCAGTTTAGTGTTGCCGGATTTCAACCAGCGATCTACTGTCTCAAGTGGGATATGTGTCCAAGCTATCCAGACTCTACTTGGCAGACCGGCCAAGACGATGTACCACCGCACCATCTAACCATGGCGGTGTTTACAGTGTCGCCTGCACTCTCGCAACCGAAGACTTGGCGCGCACAAAGCTCAATTTGAAAAACTCCTTGCCAAAATTCGAAACCTCACGTCGGTCGAGAATGTATCCATCCTCTGCATCATCTTATCAACTTGCCCTAAATCCCTCTCACGTCCATCCCAAAGAATTTTCTCCCTGATTTGTGAGCTACGCAGTGTTTCTTCCGTCGGGAATAAATATCGGCGTGGGCGTTTATTTGGTGACCAGCCGAGGCCAGAGAATAGTCGATGGGAACTATGGTCATTGAAATGAGGACGTTCTATGTCGCACTTGCAAACTTGATGAGGTTTCTGAGGAGATCGATCTCGTTGGGTGGGAGAGTATGAATTCGTAGAGAGTCTTGGATCATTGCCTCGTGAACTGACTTCTTCGGAATCGCGATTTTTGACTGAACTTGACTCTAGGAGAATATTTCACTCCCAGCTTCGTTGAGGACACCGCGTATAGGTGTTCAGTCTTTGCCCTCTAGCTTTCACTGGTAATGGGCCCGCAAAGTCAGACCGTGGAGAAATTCTACTTTTTATAATCCATTCGCAATGGCCGGCAAAAACGCTCTCTTCACCTTCTATTGGTGCCGGTGTAAAGGCCTGGTCTGCTCTGCATATCTGGGATAGCCAAGAATAATCGCATCCGAATCAGAGGCGCAAACAACCACAAGCATATCAATAATCGATGACTTCTCATCAAAGTTGGCCCTATCCTTCTCACGCGAGTTCTTCGACTTACTCATACCATAAACTAACTGGTCTCAACGACTGGTTTTGTAGTGGCATCAATTGCAACCGAGAATCTGCATCATAAAAATCGGCCATCGCCCACAAGAAGTTTAGGACACTAAGTATATCCGCGAGAATGAAATTAAGTCATAATGTACAAAGCTAGGGTCTTGGTCTAAGAGGAACCATTGTTCCGATAGGGCTCCATGTCTTGAAGGGGGATAAGCAGCTGGTACGTGAAGCTGACGAGAGGACAGAACACAAATGGGCAGCCTGTGACTCCCAATTTTTGAGAGGTTTCCACTCTGGGGTACTGGTGGGCGCCGAAGCTACGATTCGGATAGTGTCATTGACACTTGCTACGGGAAACAAAGGAAGGTGTTGTGGTCTGCCTCCTGGAAGCCTATCCCATTCAAGAAAGAGAGGACTGTAAAGCCATATCTCGCGCCTTTGCTATGTAGATGATGGCAAAGGTATGATAGGGCGGCCAAAGGTTTTTCCTTTTTCCTGTTTTCCCTTTGGTGGATATTCACGGTTGAGGGAAGGGTCAGAGTCTCTAGCACAAAGGGCTTGAGTGGTATCAGCCAATGCATCGACTGCATAAATGGTCCGAATGTCAAACTGAGTTATCGTCGTATACAGTCGTCTGGGAAGGAATAGCCTTGTCTTTGTAGTTCTCTTTGAGTGCTAGGTTTCTGCCCCTCGCGAATAAATATCCACTCACTCATTCCTGTTGAGGACCATTACTCTTAGTTAATTTAACTCACAAGATTCGACATAATCAATCTCCTCTACTTCCTCTCTCTTGATAGATAGCTGTACACACAATCAAAATCTGACTCTACAAAGTCAATGTTATCAGCGAACTCGTCTTTAGTTCTCAGTAGAAACGGGTCAAGTAGTGAAGAATTATGACTACAAGCAAGGAGATCACTCTCATTCTTGATTCAAGTTTTAAAGTTGACCTCTATGTCTTCTGTGGAAGCTCGTGCGGCGTTATCAAGTGGAAATACCTTGGGGCCTATTCTAGATAGCTCTGCCAGCCGTCAATCCAAAAAGACGTGATAAGCATAGAAAATGTTAGAGGAAGAACAAAGCGATGAAATTACAGATACTCCTAAATCATAAAACAGTCTAACCTGATGACCCGTCAGAATTTTCATGGGAAACACCTGCGGCTAGATCATGATAGTAGCATTGTTGAGTAACTTTGGCAAAACAGCAAAAACAGCAAATCCCATGCCTTTCTAGGTACCGAATCCTACATGTGTGGTACTGCCGCGGGGCTTACAAGTAATGGATCTATCTAGTAACATAGCCCTAAATTTTCTGTACTTTTAGTTGTTCCCAGCAGCACATCTCTCCTCTCCATATCATAGCCACATAGCTGAATACAATTTGAATTTAAAAAAACTCCTCTCCCTGCCAGTGTGCACATACTTTTATCTAATTAATTTTAATAATGCCCTAGTATTAGTCTTAAACCATACCAAAGCTAGTTTCAGGATGATTGAAAACTTTTTAAAAATAGAATCATTCTATACCGCCACGATTCTATTAATGGTATCAAAGAGTAGACGTGTCACTAATCTGCGGTTTCTTATAATCCTTTTACTTTAACGTCGTTGTATTTACACTAATTGAATCGGCAGTAGCATCTACACCGCTTGGTGCGCATGATAGTCTTCTTAAAAGAGGACTTTCTTCATTGTCTACCTCACAACTCAGGTTATCGTTAAGGTTTCTTCCTGTATCGTCGGGTATTCCTTCTCCTTCTACCAACCACCAAATTGGTGCAACCCCAATGATTGAAATAAGAGTAAGAAGCCACCAAGGGGCAACTCCATACTCATGCTTCATGCCCCAAGTAAAGACTACACCAACTAATGCTGGTCCAATGGCTCTACCTAAAGAGGAGAAACATACTAAAAATAGAAGTCAACTTCCGCATTGGCAGGATTTTCGAAGCTAAGATTTTACTTAGTTACGTACCTGCGAACCCGTTCAAGGTAGCTAAGCTACTTAAACTGTTGGCTGAATTTGTCATGATGATAACGGAACATGGATATACGAATATGACCGCTATACATTTGACAATCATTATCATCAACATAATACCTTGTTGCCAGGCAACAGACTCAATTAATGCCGTATATGGTGTCACTAAATGTATAATCGGAAATATGATGGCACACCATTTGTAGCAATTAAGTACGCCAAAGCGTCGTGCCGTAGAGGGAAACACGAAGAACTGTATCAAGCAGCCGAAAATTCCATAAATTGTAAAAAGGGTACCAATTCGGGAGGAATCGATACCAAATCCCCCGGAAAACTTCAAAGGTAGCAATGGTAGAGGATTCGGCGGAGGTATGCGCGGATTATGCATAAATATGGGGAGAATCTGATCGTAGCTCACATTCTGCATGGATATAAAAGTGTAGGAGATTAGGTTTAGAGTTGATTGGCGATTTAACACTTCACTGAGACTAGCCTTTTTGCCTTCTGTGAAACTGGGCGAAGATGTGAGTAGAGGGGTGCTATCGTTGGCATAAGCTGATTTAGACGAAGCTGTTGGATGCGGAGAACGAAAATGAGAGATATTATGTAGAAATGATGATATTTTCTTTCCGAGAATAAGACCATAGTCTTTTCGGTTTCGATGGCGTCTGTTAGTCTCCTAGCAGTTGTCAGGTGCTCGGAATACTTTGAGTGATTCTAGTCTAAAGATGACTGACCTTTAGATATAGTATGGCTATTGAGATGCTTATCGCAAAGAAAGCACTAGCAATAAGATTGGGTAATGCAAATGGAAATTTAATGAAGAAAGCATTTTTCCCAAATATCTGGGGGAAATGAACAGCAGGTTTCGCAAAAAAGCCACCGAAAGATGGGCCAAAAATAGAGCCGATAGACCAGACTAGGGGCATAATAGTAAAGGCAACAGGTTGGAGTTCTTTTTCTGGAACCATTTCTGCTACCATGGTTCGGATGGTGCCAACATTTCCATTAAATGCACCTTGCAGTCCTCGAGCTGTAATTGCCATCGCTAGATTGGTAGAACAGCCCCATATTAGAGAGCAAGTCATGGTACTTATGAGACCCGTTATTATAGCTGGCTTTCGACCAAAACTGTCTGAAGCCCGACCCCATATCAACGCCGTCATGGACTGGCACAAGGAAAATACGGCACTAGTCAAGCCGGCCCATTTGGCGATTTGACTCTTTTCAATACCAAAAGATTCAATCATCTCCGGCTGAAAACAGTTAGATAAGCCTCTATATGCAGTAACTTACAATATAAGGGTACACCGACGTCAGAACTAGCGGCTCTGAAAATCGACATAATGCTTCGCTGCGTTAGCTCTGCTCTTTAATATTTCTGAGATGAGATTTCAATAGACGACTGAATATTTGTCTTTTTTTCAACTAGAAATGTCTTGGATTCACATGAAAGCTACTCACCAAGAATTGACAGTTGCTGCACAGGCAGCCGGGCTTGGGTTGTTGTTCTAGAGCTAACCATTATTTGATTAGCTAAATAGCTTTGCCTTAACTCTTTGTCAAACTCCCATCAATATAAAGATGAGGATCAAATGTAGCAGGCTGGAGCGGCGCTTCAATGGCACAAGGTGAACAATAAAGTGAGGTGGGGACTATTCAGCTAATTCTGATACTCTATGCGACGCTGATAAATATATCAGGCACAATTTCGCGTATATTTGTACGTGCTCTCGGACTGCATTAAGGAAACTTTCGGTCCTCGCAACATTCTAAACATACATTACCGTTATGCGGATTAGTCAATACGTCAAATGTGTGCGTCTTGAGCTTACATTAAGTCATACTTTTTTATCCGCCTTGCATTTTCGAATAGCTATGTCTAGAATCAAGCAGGGACTCTGCATTCACATGACGATACGTGATATGTTACAATACGATATTTTTTTGTCCTATCAATTCATTGCTTTATTGGGAAATGTGAGTTATTTTCACCCACTGGCTAGGAGTAATAGTAAATGGACTTCGTCTCGTTAACTGGGGTGGGTAGACATTAAATGGCTCAGGTCTCCTCTAAGTTTATGATCAATTGAGGAATCTGAAGTGCGGTACTAATTGAGGGAAACTGTTTATGAGGCGTAGGGGGGTATATACTACTCGATAGGTATCCTTGGCCTGTATGCGGAGAGGGCTTGCACGTCCTATGTAACATAACACTCAGAATAGTCATTAATAATAATCGAGTTAGAGTAACTAGCCTCGAGCAGTGTTCTACTTCATGTACCTCTTTCATTGTCTCTTTCCAGGGGTAGCACAACCATAGCTCCTCATTTGTGTACAGGCGTAATGAAGCCACTTTTCCCGTCTTTTTTTCACCTCACCTGCCAACCAAGCGCTAAAAACCAGTCGGTGTGTATCTGCAGACATCATTATCAAAACTAGTGGGTGCGATATTTTAATTATAATTTTACATAATTTTCTAAACGTGTAAGGATATGTTAAAGCCCTTAGTTGCAAACCGAGGTTCGAATCAACCACATGAAGCAGAGGCATATGCATGTAAGCAAGCATCGTGTTGATCAATCGTTCGCGCTAGTTAGACCCCTCAGCGCCAACGTGTCAAATGCGACAGGGGCCTCCCCACCTCGGCACTGATCTTAATTAAGTAGAAAATGACGTAGAGAGCATACTTCCACAAGTATACTACCGGATGCACCTCCCTCTCTCGGAATAAACAACAGCACCTACACTCACATATCCGCGAACTCTAAATCCCGACATGGTTAATACGGTAGAGGATAAAAAAAACAGACGCTTTCAGCCGATAGAGCCTATCGCCACATTTCGGCATCCCCGTTCAAAGTCTATCAGGCAATGGCTTTTAAAATTTGCATTAACCATCTCCATCGTACTATTGATATGGTGCTTTCCATCTAGAAATAGTTATGGACTACCGAATTTAAATCATCGAAACAATTTAGGTCCTGGGGAGTTGGAGAAAATACTTCTTGAGACACCTGATGAAGGGAAGGCTAAAGAATGGAGTAGATATTACACCTCTGGGCCTCATTTAGCAGGAAAAAACTACAGCCAGGCTGAGTGGACGAAAGATCATTGGCAGCTATTTGGAATCGATGCTGAAATTGTATCCTACCACACTTTTCTCAATTATCCCCTTAGTCACCGTTTAGCACTGCTTACGAGTGAAGAAGATGGGGCGTCGTGGCGGGTAAAATTCGAAGCTGGCCTTACTGAGGATACGCTTGAAGAGGATCCTACTACGAGACTTAAGGATCGTATCCCTACATTTCATGGCTATTCAGCCAGTGGAAATGTTACAGCTCCATACATTTATGTTAACTATGGCGCACATGCTGATTACGAGGATCTAATCAAGGCCAACATTACTTTGGAAGGGAAAATAGCACTTGCGAGATATGGCAACGTATTTCGTGGTCTCAAAGTCAAGCGTGCACAAGAATTAGGGATGGTTGGAGTAGTCATATTCACAGATCCTGGTGATGATGGGATGGTCACCACAGACAATGGCATTGCAGAGTATCCCAAAGGACCAGCACGACAACCAAGCAGCGTACAACGCGGTAGCACTCAGTTTTTGGGCTATGTTTTCGGAGATCCGTAAGCCGATGACTCCTCTAATGAAGTTCGCTAAACATGATAGAACTACACCTGGCTATCCTTCTAAACCAGGTGTTCCACGTCAACCAGTAGCAAGCAGTATACCTAGCATACCATCAGTTCCCATATCTTACATTGACGCCATACCTTTCCTGAAATCCCTGAATGGATACGGACCTACTCCTCAGGACCTCAATAAATGGTGGCAAAAAAATCTAGGATTAAAAAATAAAGGTGTCCAGTATCACATCGGCCCTTCCCCTCCTGGGGCTGTAATGAACCTTGTTAACGAACAAGACTACGTCATTACGCCAATCTGGAATGTGATTGGTGTAATAAATGGCACTATTCCAGATGAAGTAATCGTGATTGGAAATCATCGAGACGCCTGGATTGTAGGAGGAGCTGGCGATCCTAACTCTGGCTCAGCGGCTCTGAATGAGGTCATCAGATCTTTCGGTCAGGCTGTGGCTAGAGGATGGAAACCCATGCGCACAATTGTATTCGCATCGTGGGATGGAGAGGAATACGGCTTACTAGGCTCCACTGAATGGGTTGAAGAATATCTCCCTTGGCTATCCGCTACCTCAGTTGCGTACATCAACGTCGACATTGGAACTACGGGACCTCAATTTTTCGCTTCCGCATCTCCCCTGTTGAACGAAATTGTGTATGAAATAACCTCTCTCGTTCCCTCCCCCAACCAAACTGTTCCGGGCCAGACAGTGGCAGATCTATGGGACGGAAAAATTGAAACAATGGGGTCTGGATCTGACTTCACCGCTTTTCAGGATATTGTAGGTATCCCCAGTCTTGACATAGGTTTTGGTGTTATTTCAGACTCCTCATCGTCAGCTATTTATCATTACCACTCTAATTATGATTCATTCTATTGGATGAATGAGTATGGCGACCCTGGCTTTCTCTATCATGCCACAATGGCAAGGCTGTGGGCTCTGTTGACTGCAAAACTCGCCGATGCCCCTGTAATTCCTTTCAGGGCTACTGACTATGCCACTGCGCTGCAAAAATATATTTCCAAAGCGGAAGCAAGACTTGATATTCTTATAGCCGAATCAAGTCCTGATGACGAGATAGAAGAGGTACGAGTACGTCCAAAGCCCGGAAATCCACGAGGATCTCTACCCGATTTAAAATCCTACTTTATTGAACTTCATCACACTGTCCACCGCTTGCACAATTCTGCTCGTAGGCATGATGCGTGGGCTACGCTACTTGCGAACATGGCAAATCAAAGATTGCCGTGGTGGAAATGGCTTCATAAACGTATTCTTAATTACCGTGTCAAGAAAGTGAACAATAAATATAAGTTCTTTGACCGCGCATTCCTCCACCAGGAAGGCCTGGATGGACGCCCATTGTTTAAACACGTGGTCTTTGCACCCGATAAATGGAGTGGTTATAGTGGAATTGTCTTACCCGGTTTAATTGAAGCAATCGATGCAAGAGATTGGACAAATGCATGTCGATGGGGGGAAATAATTAAGAAGAGTATGCAAGCTGCTCATGAGGAACTGCAGTAGAGGCATCTCGTAAACTGCTTCTGTTACTGCCCCGTCACTGTTTTACTGGCATGAGACTGACCGTTTACGTGAATCAGGGACGTAACAGCTCCAGTTTGGTAGCCTTTGGATAATTAACAAGGTTAGAAACCAATGTTAGGATATAACTTTAGAATAATACATAGCTAGCTGTTGTAAGAGAGATAGAAAATGCGAACAATGGGAATGCTTAGACTCAAGACCTGGCCTTATATGTCTTTCATCTATTGCTTCTAAAACGAGCCTAGGCCTGAAGTGCTTGTTCATCTGGGGTTCAGACTAAGCGTAGCTAGCTGAATCTTTATATTTCCATTTCGGTCTTCAAGTCTAAGTTGATCTTGGGTAGGCCCTGACCGGGAGCTCCGAGTCATGTAGCTGATTGACCGGATTGTTTCCTGAGTCAGATTTTGATTGTGTATGCAGCTATCTCGCCATAACAAATTATCAGAGATAAGGTATAGAATGATTGACTCAATTTAAAAGTAGAGCACTCATGCCTCGGATTTCATTTGCAAGCACCACTTTATGGTTATGGCACCTTTTTCTTCATTCCAAATTAACCTTCATCCGTGAATACCCAATCAGGGGAACATCTTAAAAGCCTTGGGTTTTCCAGACATACCTCCATCTTCTTTCAACTTTTCTCCGGGCGAAATGTGGTCTTAGGCGTCTCCTTCCCAAGTGGAGTAGGTGCCCAGGATACTCGAACCATACCAGAGAAAAATACTAAGGGGCGGAACACGGCACCTTCCATCGTTTGCTTGTTTTTATAGTGTCAGCTGCAATCTCGCAAGCGAAGTCTTGGCGCGCACAAAGCTCAATTCGTAAAACTCTTGCCAAAATTCGAAATTTCACGCCCGTCTAAAACGTATCCCTCTTCTGCATCATTTTATAAACTTGTCCTGATCCCTCTCACGTCCATCCCAAAGAGCTATCTCCCTGATTTGTGCTCCACGCTTTGTTTCTTCCGTAGGGTATAAATATCGGCGGGGGTGTTTGTTTGGTGACCGGCTGAGGCCAGAGAAAGACGATTACAGGTGTGGTCATTGGAATGAGAATGTACTTGGTTATACTTGTAGGCTTGATGAGACTTAGGTGTGACTCGGACTGTATGGGAGTGAAAAACTGACATGGTGGAGTACTTTGGATCATTGCCTCGTGGGCCAACTTGTTCGGTAATACGAAGTTTGACTGAACTTGGCTCTGTGAGAATATTTCACTCCCAGATTCGTAGAGGACAGCGCGTACAGGTGTTCAGTCTTGCCCTCCGATGCTCGATGAGTGCTAGGCTTGTACCGTTTACGAATAAATATTCATTCATTCACTCCGAAAAAGTATATACGGGTTGTTAGGGCAGTAAATTAGGATAACTAAAAAATACTTTAGATTTTTTATTGTCCATTTTCAGTCTGTGATTACATCTTATGATCCTGGTCTGCGCAAGGAAGCAAGGGTATCGTAATCGAGACTCGGTAATTAAATTGCGTGAAAACAACGATTTGAGTTCATGCTATTGCACAACTCTGGAGTGAGGCGGATATTCAGCAGGAGCTTAACATGGCCTAGGTCAGAGAGGAACACAGTGTGCTAACTAGTCTTCGAATAATTATGTACACAAAACGTCTTGTTTCCCTTATATTTTTGAAGAGATAACAAAAGACATGGGGAGAGGCGTGTGTCCATTGTTCTACCTGAGTCTAATACTATCTCGCAAACTCAGTTCAGTATTTAACCGTGGAAATCAGCTATCTTTTCTTCAGCGCCGTCAACCGAAATTTTTTTCAAAAATGGTAGCTGTGGAAACTGCTTGCGCGGGAAAAAGTCTCAAAAAGCCTACAGCCCCAGTATTGTGCTGGCCCCGTTAAATTGTTAGAAGACAAGAGGATGGAGAATGGGCTTCTAGATTAGGAAAGGGTAGAAAATATAGGCTGGTGCACGGACGCTGTTCATGTATATATGCATATATAGTTCTTTTTACCTGATTTGGCGCCCTGAGGCCCATGCAGGTTTTTATCGGAAGATATGTACTTTAAGTAGGATGACTCACTTTGAAATTTGGAACACTCTCACTCAGATTTCATTTGCAGATACCACTCGAGGTTAACCCTTACGGCGTATAACCTATTCCGTGAATACCCACCATAGGGAAAAGCGTGAAAACCCTGTGGCTATCTGAGTGTGCTTTCATCATCCCACAAGTATAATATCACCGCGAGAGAGAGAGAGTAGTGTGTGGATTTTACTGGTTTGAACCAGCTTTCTCCTGTCTCGAATGGGGTCGGTTTAATAATGAAACGAGTCAACTCAAGCGTGTCACCAATTGGCCACGAACACTTTCATGTACTTTACAATCTCATCACTTGCTGAATTTAGTGAATCGATCTATTCAAAAGAATATCATACTTCACATCATCCATTAGATGATATTAAAATTCGTTACAATGCGAGTCAAGTATCTCCTTCACAGATCACCATTGTCAGTAAGAGTTCACATTTGATACCCTCTGACACCCATTTGACGACAGTGATACGCACTTAGTGTCCATCCTGCCATTTCCGCGGCTCACCATTGCACATGAGCACGTGCCTCTCCACCCACGGATAGCAGAGTCATAATTGCCGTACACCTCACAGCTCATAACCACAACACCCAGCCAGGCGAGGCCTAGGCACCAGGACCACATGAGGTGCGCATATTAATCTATATCTCCCTTCTTTGTAACAGTCGAGGTCGACTTGATCCAATCCACCATCTCCGTATCGGGTGCTGGGTACGCTCTGGAAACTCATCGGATGGCTTTTCCTCCGTGATCAAGGTTTGGTGATGAGTAGAGCTCCGACCCTACCATCTAACCTGATCGTGGTTAGCTTCATGATAATGGTGATAGGGGAATGTGTTGAGAGATGAAGACGATGCAGACCGCGAAAGCGATTGGGAATCCTCTTCGAAGTGAGGACTTTCTTACTCAATCTCGGCTCTGCAGACTCTACAGTGAGATCTGGAGATTCGTAGGGGACACCGCTGACAGGTGTTGAGAATAGTTCCCCGACGGCAATATAGTGTAACTGCGCTTCCTGAAGAAAATATGTGAAAACAAACGAGAACAAGCAGAAAGGTATGGGCGCTTTTCACCACGAAGCTTTCCTCCCGTGAAGATATAACAGATTGTAGACACCAGCATGGGCCCATAGGGCGGCTAAACAGGATATTGAAATCAAAATCAAAATCATAAAATTTAAGGGTCGGGATTACGCAACAGATAAATGGGTCCTTACACGGTTACGCCAATGGACCTCAGATGCACTTCAACGCGCTCTATAACCTCAATCACTGATGGGTCATTATTTCCTTAATGTATCATTTTTATTGTGGGTACACCTAGGACATTGTATAAATAAATAATTCAATTGTCCTGATTTGGCGCCTTGAGGCCCATGCAGGTTTTTATCGGAGGATATGTACTTTAAGTAGGATGATTCACTTTGACGTTAAGAACACTCACACTCAAATTCCATTTCTAGATACCACTTGAGGTTAACCCTTACGGCGTGTAACCTCTTCCGTGCACACCCACCACGGGGAAAAGCGTGAAATCCCTTTGGTTATCCGAGTGGGCTTTCATCATCCCAAAAATACAGTCTCACCGCGAGAGAGAGTGGTGTGTGGGTTTACTGGATTCGAACCGGCTTTCTGTAGCCTATGTTGGCTAACATAGGCTTGGTCCGATTTAGGGTGCGCACGATCGATCGATCTAATATCGGAGCATCGGAATCTGCATAGCATCCGTTTCAACAGTGCAGCTCAACGTGGCACCACTTGTCGGTGAGAAGCTATCGGCTGGGAATATACGAGATCGGACACAACCTCCTCAATTGATAGTGCAATGACGTCTTAGAACATGAGGCTCTCTTGTATATATATATGTGTAGATAGATCTTGTAGTAGTTCTCTCCTTAGAATTATTATCTACTACCATCAACCACATAGTTGCTCCAGCACCTGTCCTAGAATCCGTGACAGATACGGAGCGATCCAAAAGGGGTAGGATCTGCCGTATTCGAAGTGCATAGGGTGATTATCGAGGTTCACAATGGAGGTTTAGAATCAAGAATTCAAAGATTAAGAAGAGGTATTGTGGTAGCAAAATACCAAAGATGATTATGATCAAAAGAAGAGTAAATACAATCTCCGGCTCGTCCTTGAACAATCCATTGCATGAGGGTACCTGAGTTGAATTGTCAATCTCCTCAGATATTTAATCTGGGAAATAATGTGTGGATTCTTCCGGTATCTTAAATACTAATCGTCCCCGAAAGTCTATATTACTAATTTATGCAAAGATACTTTCATTAAGCACAAGATTGCTATTTCCAAAAACCGGTCTTTTTTTTTCTTTTTTATTCATTCACGTCCTAGGTACAGTCAGACCCCTGTTAAGACGATGTAATCGGGGCCGTGAAAAGTATCGTCATATAGAGGATATCGCTTTAAAGGATTTGATTATCAAATCAAACTATTAGGCTACTTTTTACTTTTGATGCTTCCTTTATACTCCCAATTGTGGTCCCTAATCACTCCAACACTCTCAAATAGCTCGAATTAAGAGAATCTTGACTCTCAATATACTCAATTAACACTTTCAGAGCCATTTCGGCTTCTTTTGCTGTCCGCAAAGGCTGTTCGTATTGTACTGCCTCTTCTTCTTCGTCTTGATTTGTTCCCAAATGTTCCCCTATCACCTCTTGTAAGATCATTGCCTCGTCAAGCATCAAATTCCCTTCCTCTTCCTCCTCAATTGGATTAAGAAAATTATTTATTGCCATTGAATCTCGTATGTCTCCTGCTCTGACTACCTCATTAAACAATTCAGAAAGCCCAGTCGGAAGTAGAGGCGTATGTCGGAATACTCCTACGGAGTAATTTAATCAGAAGCTTGTTGCAACGATATGGATGGTTCTTAGTTGATTTCTTTCTACTCTCTCTCTCCCAAAGGAAGAGACTATGCACATATTCATTTATTATTTCCCGTTACGCCATACCCGATTAGGCAGCCCCACCAAGTTACCCTTGACATTATGAATTACATATTTAGACAGCGTAGGAGGAGCAATTGGCTTGGAAATAAGAGTCGATTTCCGAAAGCAATTATGAATCGTAGTATTGGTAACTTTGTTATTCCAACTTCGTAAAATCCAGCGAATCGCTAGTCGAATATTGACACTTGATTGTGCATCTATACCCTCTTCAGTTGCTTGTAGTACAAAGCGGAGCCACTACCGTCTGTAGAATACTTTGCAGTTCTGAATAATACCTTGATCAAGAGGTTGGTACCGGCTTGTACTATTAGCTGGAAGCCAACAGATCTTGACTTTTGACGGAGGCGGGTATAATTCAACGGCAGAATAATGGGCAGAAAAATTATCCATTGTCAATAGTACATCTCGGGCTGTCACAAACCATCTCTGGGATGTCGCATCGCGCCCGGGCAACCGAGTCATGACGTGCATACAATAACATAATTTAGGAGTTGTAATGGTTACAGTGTTGTGATAGCAACAGTTGCCATTCGGTGTACTTGTAAGTTGCTGTGATATGGCTGTGGACTACTACACCCTTGGTTATAGTATTGATGCTCGTGTACTTATGAAGCTCTAGGACTAGATGTATACGGTAGCTTTTTGTCTTGTAAATTACTCATATTTTAGAATCTAATTATTAATCTGAATATCCCGTCTTCATTATCAGCCTCTGTCTTCGTCTTCGTCCTCGTCTCCGTCCTCGTCTCCGTCCTTGTCCGTGTCACGGGCATTTTCAATGTGGCGATGAAATTCTTGAAGCCATTCACCCACAATTACTGTGTTCATCCATGCCTTGGAATTTCACCTCCACTTGCCACCAATTGTCTGAATACTAACGTTTTTCAAGGCCCGAGGCGTCTTATATTTGCCAATAATCCAAATTGGAAGTCGATCAGAACATGTAGCATTCGTACAAAAACAGAGAGAACCTCGGTCCTTGTTTTTCTTGAGCCCAGGACGAGATTGTGACAATAGCCCACATGAAGGTAGCATTTTCCAAAAGAGACCTGACTAGTCCATATTATATATGTTTTCTTCCTCAAACTCTCCTGCAATTGTCTGTAAAGCTTTCATTTCGGCTTCTGCGGCCGCTGGAATTGAACCAACTTCACCTTGTCACACTCGGTTCTGAATACGGTTTCGATTCTTGAAATTCTCAAGCCATCCAGCGCTGAATTCAGTGAACAGTTGGCTAGCGTGCTGTGGTACTTGTGTCCAGATCTGCTTTGCCTTCTCACGGAACAAATCGCCAGTTGTGATCCCTCCTCCTTGTTCAACTCGTATTTTCTACTCCAGGAGAGTACTCTCAAGGTCAGGCCAGTTTCCAGCTCGCTGTCGTAGTGCAGCAGTACTTGTAGCTTCGTCTAGTTTAGTAAAGGTCTTGCTCAAGGACTCGGACACTGTGGACTGGCTTAATCGATGGCCGTACTTAGCGAAGAACCACTCAATGCACTATTTTTGTGTTGGTTTTGGGACCTAGCGGTGCGCCCATCATCGCAGAACACGTCATTGCTCTATAGAAATTCCCTTTTTTGGCGGCATTATTAACACCATCTAATAAAAATACCCTGGGTAAGACGATATTCAGAGGTTGAAGAACGATAATCGTGTAATCGGTAAATGTGTGGGAACGAAGTCTGTTCCGCAAAAAATATCGTCTTAACAGGGGTCTGACTGTTTAGTGATTCCCGTCACACTCCTACTAGAGCTTGGGCACGAGCGGTGCCGGGCCGGATCAGGTCAACAACCGTAATGTGACGGAAACCGAGTTGGTGATGAATACGTCGATTTATTAAACTATATAAGGAGAGAAGAGAACTCTAGCTACAACTAACAGGTACTTATAATGACTGTTCCGCTGCATGTATCTACTAACTGGTGGCTTTCCTCCAGACATCATACTCGCTAACTAGCCACGTATCTTTGGGTGTTACTTAGTTGTAATAGCGATCTAGCGTCCTGATTAGTATTATCGTTTCGTCTAGTTCCATCTTCCCCTCCCCGTGCGACCTTATTGTAAACAATGTAAGTATTACGCTTAGGTATCCACCTAAGCTCATACAACGGTCAAACCGTGACACGTAAAGTACAAGTGCCTCTTCCCACCTAAATGACCGATCCACCTTAGAGTTCACCCATGAGTTGAGTCTTTTCAAGCCCAACCGTCCAGAGAACTCTCTTTTGACGCGCCGAAGCGCAAATTCCTCCTTTATACACGTCCCGTTTTCATTATGACTTTCCTCATTAGGGCGTATGTAGGTAGGTAATGTGACGAGTATGGAGGTGGGTCGCAGGTGTGGGATCGACTGAGAGATGCTTCGTCGCAAATACATAAGGAACTTGAGAGATGTCAGATGTCAGATGTCAGATGTTTGAATACGACCCCCAGACAGACCTAGGCCCATTCATGAATCGTATGATGGTAGTGAGGAATTCTTGTTCAACTTTGTTCCGGCTATGAAATCTCTGCCGACTGACTTTTCAACAAAAATATCGAGTGAAACTCCTTCAAGTCTAAAATCCATCAAATAATACTCATCCTACCCTTTTTCGTGACTGAATCTCGGCTCTGGAAGAATATTTCACTCCCAGGTTTGTAGAGGACACTGCTGACAGGTGTTCAGCCTTCGTCCTCCCCGAAAGCCGGTCTTGGAGATAACCTTGTAATTTATCTCTTTAGTCAATCTTGGCTGGTCGGATATCTCGTTTAGTAACCCTGCCTCTGGCCAGATTATTTAGGCCATCACATTTCTCCTGCCTCAAATGGGATAGGTGTTTGAGCTACCTAGATACTACTTGGGAGAACGGCCCGAATGGTGTATTACAGCACCATCCATCCCTAGTAGATAATAAACATGGTCGCTCAACTGATACACTAGTGATATTGTCCTGTGGCCTATGGCCTCACGCGATACCACTATCTCGATTACTCTGTTGTCGCACATCATAACATATGGCCGGTAATAGACGAGGCAAGTTTCTGTTGGCAATTTGAGTAACAACTTTATGAGTCGTTGAGGCAAGGCGTTGCGTGGTAAGTTTAAGGCTGAGGGCTTTCGTGAGAAAACCAAGACCGAAATTGATGAGATGTCGCTGATTATTGATGTGATTCTGTTTGCTTTCGACCTCAACTCGGATGCGATACTTCTTAGCTATCCCAGATATCCAGGGCATACTGAGCGTTTACACTGGCACCATTGGAAGGTGATGAATGCATCTTTGCCGGTGAAAAGATCTTATTATTATGCAGATAGACCTCGCACTGCGATACTATTATCTTGACCAGAGATACTTATTTCAAGTATGTTACATTGAAGTTGATGTTTAAAAGCTCCAATATTGTATTCATATTTTCATATATTTTGCCTATCAGATAATATACTAGAGATACATTCCTTATTGCCGGTTGACTGGGTGAAGAGCATCGTCTGGATCCACAAATGAGTTCATTTTGGAATTTCCTTCTCTTGGTAGAGCTAGCTTGATTAGCCTGAGAATAATTGGTCATGTATTTGCCGGAATCCACTGAGGCATAAGTACCAGCACCACTGAGTCAGTAAAGATGATGGATGTTAAATAACTAATCTGTCCATAACTTTGAGCTTGATGATGGCCAGCAAGATGAAGAATAACATGGCCTATGATTTGAGATAAAAGGGCGCAAAGACACTTGTTAGGAGATAAAACCAAAATAAATAGGGGTTATTGGCCCATTGTAGGTATGGACATTGTGAATGTAGTCGGATGCATCTTAATCTAAAAGTCGAGTCAAGTGTGCGATACATATATACGTGTCCTATCCCTGTCCATCATTATCAATCCCTGCACTTCCAAAAACACAATCCATGTCTATTATCCATCGTAATCCTGAGTATCAACTTGAGTTACCAACATACGGTATATATGTACGGATCAATAACAAGTCAAAAATGTTAACGATAAGTGTCGACGGCTAAAAATAACCACCGAAGAAGTTGGACAGGGAAATGTCTCGGGTCACAAATAGGGACTGTCCATACGTACGTGGGTTGCTTGTTTCGGTCAGTGCTTACATTCTGTATTTAGAACTGCAGGTTATTCTATTCCTAGCGCATGTCTATATTTAGAGATCAAGAGATCAAGTCAATCATGACTAGTGTATAGAGTCCTAGAGTTCCGGGAGAAATAGGAATCAAATTGTTTTTACTGAGTTATCTTTTACTTTAATTGCATACACTTCGCCTATCACAGGTCAGGCTCCCAGTTACCTGACAGTAAGAACCCTGAGTCCTGCGGTACCTGGGCAGGAAGTGAAATTGCTCATGCCTCACTAAGGCAAACAATTAACAGGACCGTTAACCTTCTCGACCAATACAATGTCCTGGAACTTCTTGTAAATTTCTTCACGATAAGTCTAGTTCAAATCTTTACTATCAAGCTTTACTGGCTTTAAGTATCACGCCTTCCAACCATCGACAGAAACACTGCGAATTAATTGTTATCGCTCTTCCCAGAACTCTACCTCATTTAATCGAGGTAATACTGAAGAATAGGGCGAAATAAGCGCATCCAAAACTCTTCACTGTACGACGAATGCAAAACATCTTTCAAAGTTATCATTATGAGTTGCGTTTTTGCATTCCTACTAGCAACCAGCGGGCACATGATTATCACGGGCTTCACCGCCAGCGATAATCACTATGGACAATATCAGATTCAAAATAGATACTATTTCCCCGAACCAAAATCGAACGAAGATGTCTATCTATTCACCCAGAAAATAATCTCATCAGGCACAAACTATGCCATGTACTGCTCACCTCTGAAACGGATGAGTCAGATAGTGGAAAATATTGAGGGACTGGTACCTGTAGATAGTCATATTGAACCCCAAACCCCTAAATATACAATGGCGAAGCGAGATTGTCTACAAAAAATCCAATCATCATCTCATCAAGTTCCGTTATCAAAATTACTTCAGGGCGAAAGGAAAGATAAAGTATGCACAAGTAACGTCATATTCAGTCTAGTATTTTTCCAGCAAATAAAAATGACCGGGAATTTTAATTGTTTTCTTCCGCCTATGAGAGTAATAAATGTACCCATTGTCAAGGCGGATATTTCTATGAATTTGAGAGATATAGTACCCAGCGAAAGTATGTTATTTGCTGCATCCGGGAAAAATATTGATTTAGCACTCATTTGGCATCATGGACATCTAATTTTATTAGAAGGCTCGACAAAGCGAGATAAAATTATATGGAAACCTCGAACCCGTATCAATGACAAGCTACAGACCGCTAAATATATAACCGAATTCATGACCAACAATTTTCCCGGGGTGAAATCTATCAAGACAAAAATTACCTCCATGTACTTGCACGTAACCTATCTAGATTTTTTAAAGAGATTGAATAGTGAAGGCAGTACTAGCAACGCTGGCATTTCCATTTCGCAAGTTTATGAATCAAAGTTTGAAAATCCATACAAACATTTCGTTCAGTACTCCCGCGGATCGCTGGAAGAAAAATTGTTTGAAGTGACCCCAAAAGGCTATTTATGTGGTCAAAATTTGCACACACATTAATTATTTTATAGTATAATTGATCTCATGCGTGACAAACTTAATATCAATTCTACATAAATATTTAATGGAGCTTGCGAAAGAAAAACTGCACTTATTCTATGGCAGATACTTCAATCTAAGACGAGAGGAAGCAACTCGTTAATTATTTTTTAACGCATGTTTAACAGTATGACTCGAAATACTCTTAGAAGAAATGGAGAATAAGCTATTGGCCAGTCATGAATAGGGAAGACAAACAGGAAATAAACCTGGCACGTCGTAAATCGCATATACTAAGTTACCATGTATTGACAACTGTCAGGACTGCTCCTACATAATCATTATGTGTGGAAATATACTTGGTCATCGTGTTCTATAATTCTGGTCTGGCCTTTTTTTTCAATTTTTATTGTATTCAAATATCTAGCTATGACAGTTTAAAGGACTGTGTGGAGCAAAACCTAGGTATGACCGAGAAACAAATAAAAACATCATAGCTACCTTTTCTTAACCATTATTTAATTGTTATTTTATCCTTCACTAATTCCCATTGTTTATGTGCCTAATATATCTCCTTTGTAAGTGGATATACAGTCGGAAGTTTCAAATATTGTTGTAAGACTTTCCTTCTACTTTGGCCTTGTGGCCGGGTAGTTGTGTATTTATCTCACTCAAAATGTAGAAAGCAACCTCTCGACTATGATGTATGTGTATTAGTTGTGCCACTTGAGTCTGTGACTATCTCAAGCAATGAGCTCCTCTCTCTACTGTCCAAGCTATCCACATGGCTACCAATCTCAGAGACCTGAGCAAATGATTATATCCTACTCTCTATGATCAAATGGTAGAGCGGAGATCTGGAGACAAACCAACGATCAGTCCTACGGAGCTGCGATAAAAAATCCTAGCGAACTCAAAAGAATCACACAATGGATCCTAAATTATGATTGGATGGAGCAATTCTAGATGACGAATGCGCTCAAAATACCCCTGAAAGAAAAGAAAAGGCCAAGCCATTCTCGCGGTCGGCAGAGATGATGAAATTGGTTAAAATGGAGAGTACTATAGTGTAATTGCGCTTCCTGAAGGATACATTAGAAAAACTGAGAAGATAAAAGGGGACTATTCTCAACTCCTGTCAGTGGTGTCTCCTACGAACCTCCAGCTCTCACTGTAGAGTCTGCAGAGCCGAGATTGAGTAACAAAGTCCTTACTTCGAAGAAGATTCCCAATCGCTTTCGCGATCTATATCGTCTTCATCTCTCAACACATTCCCCTATCACCATTATCATGAAGCTAACCACGATCAGATCAGATGGTAGGATCGGAGCCCTACTCATCACCTACCCTTAATCATGGAGGAAAAGCCATCCGATGAGTTTCTGGACCTTACCCAGCACCCTTTACGGAGATGGTGGATTGGATCCAGTCGGCCCCGATTATTACAAAAAGGGAAGATTTAGATTAATATGCGTACCCCATGTGATCCTGGTGTCTGGGCCTCGCCTGGCTGGGCTTGCAGGTTTTTTGAGACTTTTTCCCGCGCACGCAGTTTCCATTGCTACCATTATTATTATTATTTTTTTGGGTAGGAAGTTCCGTGAAAAAGGTGACTGAATTCCACCGGTAAACACCGAGCTGAATGGCTATTCATCAAGTGCAATATATCAATGATCTTTTAAGAAACATGAGGGGCAAGGAGCACTGTACAAGATGTGGCCTGGGTCAGGGAGGAGCCCAATGTGCTAGATAGTCATAGACTCAGATATTACAATAAGAAAACACACTCACTCACACTCACTGAGAAAATAAAAATGAAGGTTGGGGGGATTTCCATGAGAAGGTTTACCCCCGCGTGAATATTCAAGTTCATAGACACTTACATAGGCCCATAGAGCGCCAAATCAGCACAATGAAATCAGAAGCGAATTCAAACATGTCAGGCTATTGGCGCCCTCCGCAATCTTATGGCAGCCTGAGCACGACTGCGGCCGGGCTGGATCAGGCCAACTATAATGTAAGTGAGGTTCTTGATGGATTAGTATGTTTGAATAGTGAGATAAGCTTAGCTTTATGATGGCGTAGGTTACGGGTGTCTCGTGGCTCCAAACTACCAATAACACAGTAGAGCTTAACGCTTGATTTAATTTGAAGTCTGGTATTACAAGGAAGGTTGGATGGTGCAGTGGTACACCTTTCGGGCCGTTCTCCCAGATCGTAATTAAATTGTTCTAACGCTAAACCTAACTGCGGCCGGAGAAATAGGATTTGTATCCAGTCGGACATACACGCTATTCTCTCGCGCGGTGGTTTTGTTCTTGTGGGGTGATAAAAGCCCACTCATGTAGCCACAGGGTTTTCACGCTTTTCCCTGTGGTGGACATGCATGGAAGAGGTTGTTCGCCGTAAGGGTTAATCTCGAGTGGTATCTGCAGATGAAATCTGAGTGAGAGTGTTTCAAATGTCAAAGTGATTCATCCTACTTAAACTACATATCTTCCAATGAAACCCTGCATGGGCATCAAGGCGCTAAATCACGATATTGAATTATACATGTATATATATTAATACAAGGTATTGTCTATATAAGTACAGTATACCTTGCGCCCGGACTCCAACGTGAACAACATTACAGATGTAATACAATTTACCAGAGCCTCGTACTAATCAAGAGATATGTCAATCTTGGGTCCACATAAGTACAATAGACCTCGTCCCACCTAAACTACTGAACCACCTCAGACTTTGCCTGCGTTGAATCGTACCAAGCCCAACCGTCTAGGAACCCGCTCTACATGCGCCGCAGCGCAAATTCTTCCTCAGTCTCGGCAACCACGCGCCCAAGCCCTTGGAATCCTCATTAGCTCCGAAATACAAGTTTCGACTCAGTCCTCATCGCTGCTCTAGCCTCTCCATTGTGATGTGACTGTCACAGTAGGCATGAGAGGAGGGCAAGACTGAACACCTGTACGCGCTGTCCTCTACTAATCTGGGAGTGAAACATTCTCACAGAGCCAAGTTCAGTCAAATTTCGCAATACCGAACAAGTTGGCCCACGAGGCAATGATTCAAATTACTCCACCACGTCAAATTTTCACTCCCAACGAGATCGATTCCTACTTAAGCTTCATCAAGTCTATAAGTACGACCTAGTACATCCTTATTCTAATGATCTCATCTCTTATCGACTTTCTCTGGCCTCAGCTGGTCACCAAATAAACGCCCGCGCCGATATTTACACCCAACAGAGGAAACAAAGCGTGGCGCAAAAACCTGACAGACAGTTCTTTTGGATGGATTCGAGAAGAATCAGGACAAGTTCACAAGATGATACAGAGGACGAATATAGCCTCGATGGGCGTAAAATTTCGAATTTTGGCAAGGAGCTTCACGAATTGAGCTTCGTGCGTACCAAAACTTCAGTTGCCAGAGTACAGGCGACACTATAAACACTGTCATAGTTAGATAATGATATTTTACATCGTCTTGGCTAGTCTCCCAAGTAGGCTCTGTATAGTTTGGAAACAGATCTCACTCGAGATAGGAGATCGCTGGTTCAAATCCAGCAAAACACAACCACATTTCTCGCGGCGCTGGTATGCATGGATGACGAAGGCATGCTTGGATAATCAAAGGTTTTGAAATTTCCTTTGGGGTGTACTTACGGAGGAGGATCGACTGTTTGTGTAAGCGAACACACCCCATAGTACTTTTTGCGAATGAAATACAGAGTATGAGTGTCTCTAGCGTCATAAGAGTCATCCAACATGTAAATAAGCACTGGGCATATGTCATAGCTAAATAGTTGAATACACATTAAATGATTTAAAAAATGTCCGGGCCCACTTAGGGCGGAGAAGAAGCCGGAATAACTTCGAAGTGGTCCTGCAGCTGAAATTCGAGACGAGAGTACTCTTCTTTGTGCTTATTCTCTCACATTTTGTCACAACTAGAGCTGTACACGCAATTCAAATCTGATGCAAAACTAAAGCCCAGCCACAACCAACCGGGCCTGGCCCGTAACAATCTCGAATTTGTTATCTACTGGTTCAAGTTGCCCTTCATTTGGTGGTTAGGGGAAATGTTTAATTTATCGTAGAACAGCAACAGGCAGCAGTAATAAATAATATGATAATCATGTTTCAGTTAATATATTAGCTTAATTTCAATGAATTAATAGCTGTGACTATAGACCGTACAGTTTGAAAAGTGAGAGTTGCATTTAGTGGGTATTTAGTGTTGACTTTTAGGTAGTGCTAATAAATTCTAGTGAATGAAAAAGGTAAATAACAGGAATTGAAGACTTTTTCCGTAAAAAGTGAAACTCCATGCTAGCTGTAGCCATCCCTGCCTGACGCCATTTTGCAAGTTAGGGTTATTCTCAACATGACAGCTTTTCAATCTCTCCAACTGTGAAGCCAAAAAGAAACAAGAGATCCAAAAGACTCGTCCCATTTAATCTTGCGTGCGCCTCCATCTGCACAAGAGGTTTTGCATTCCAAGCCACGCCCAGCCCAGCTGCTCCTAGCATTGATAAATCATTTGCCCCATCTCCCACGGCAACAACTTGGCTGAGAGAGATCCCTTCCTTTTCTGCAACCTCAATAAGCAATTCACGCTTACGTTCTCTATCTACAATTTTCCCTTGTACTTCGCCAGTGAGTATTCCATCATCTATAGATAAATCATTCGCATACGCGTAGTCGATACCGAGTTCTTTAGCGAGCCATTGGGTCGTTGGGCTGAATCCACCCGAAAATACAGCTGTTCGGACGCCGATACGCTTCAGGGCCCTCAATAATTCTCGGGCACCATTTGTTGGCGTGATTACTTCTCTTAGCTTGATAAATATGTCTTCCTTTACACCTCGAAGTAATTTAACTCTTGCTTTTAAGGAGCTACGAAAGTCCAGTTCACCGTTCATGGCTTGCTCTGTAATAGCAGATACTTCAGTTTCAACTCCAATTGATGCAGCAATAAGATCAATGACCTCCTCTTTGATAAGCGTCGAGTCCATGTCAAAACAAACGAGACGCGGATATCGTCGAAAAACAGAGTCTTGTTGTAGAATCACATCAACGTTCCATTCGCGCTCAAAGCGGTAAATAAGTTCGTGTTTTCGAAGATCTGAAAGTGTCAAATAACTTGGGTCAGGAGTAGGTGAGAGAGTTATTTCAATGGCTAACGGATGGTTAGGATTATCAAGACATCGGTGAGAAGAAACAAGTGGCGGCGCTCCTTGTCGACTTGGAAGTGATGAAAAAAGGTGTAGAAAAGAGGTCAAACATATTGGCGAAATGTAGGAGCCGTAAAGCCGGTCAAGTGGATCTGGATCTGGTGGCGGCGGCTCGAAGGGAAAACTAGAGATGGAACGCACCGGTGCCAGTGCCGGAGGAATAACAGCAATTTTATCTTGCGTGGGAGAAGGGGAATGGTCGCGCGAGTGTCGTAAGGTTTGGGGTTGTGGCGACTTTGTTTTATAAAGTATGGTCGCAATGAGGCTATCTGGCTGGCGCCCAGGGACTGGTTGGCAATTTGTGTGGGAGTAGGCATGGGTCAGCTTGCTGTCGACGATCATAAATGGAATCTTAGGCGATGGAACTCCATTGTATTGATTGAATGATTTTTCTGATAGGTCAGGATTTGTAGTTCGGCCGCCCTCAACTATGCTGTCAATTCCGTCTTGTTGTGGTGGACGATATTGCTGATGGTCTTGTAAATAGGATCGAGCTCGAGCATTAATTCCCAGACAAGGACGGGACGTTTTCACCTGAGCCTCACTATCAACCATTTTCGGAATTGAAAGCTATCTCAAACTAGCTAATGATACGCCCACCGGATCCCGTTGACCGTTGTTAGATATCCAGTGATTGGGATAATCTAAGGTAAACTGATGTCTGGAGAGTTTTAGTTCTTTGTAAGCTTTATTCGATATAGATTAGTGACCTTATCCTATTTCCTCTCCTCTAGTTCCAGTTGCTGGAAAGAGGAAGAAGTACTGGCGATGAATAACAAGCGGGGTGTGGCAGGGGTGGAGGAATTGGGTGTCTTTTAGAATGGTAGTCACGAGACTGCCCATTTGGGTATCACTTTGAATATACTGCAGGCTCCTTGAGATGGGTATCAAGACAACCCATGATCTGCGGGGAGCTAAGAAGTTTACAAGCAGGCTTGGGCAGCTATACCTGCACTTCATGGTTTTGAAAATAGGACGAAATTGATTACTTGGCTTAACTTTGCTGTTAAAAGTATCAGCGTGAATAAAGCCTCGCTGATAAATGACGCTCCCAGCCACGTCAACCACAAATAAACAAAAGGGAATGCCGATACGTCGATAAAAGCACTTCTCGACAGCTACTGTGTGAATTCCTAGCGGCAAATTCGAGTCTCGGAGCCTTCGAAGAGCACCATCCACTATTACATTGAGAAGACGCTAATATGGAACGCGTTTTTAGATAGGCGATGTCCCCCAATTATTTTATGTGCATCTGAAGAAACGCCACAAAAAATTTGCAAGTCTCTATGGACGCCAGTGTAGCTTAGGCCAAAAGCTACTTAGCCAATATTCTGCCAAAATTTCAAAGATTTGTACGGCGAAAGTTTTGCGTTAAAGAACTACCGTTGATATTTCTCCATGCTAGTTGGTGATCTAATAAATATTAGACCGTCTTAGACGAAGATACCGCAGAGTGGAGGCTGGTGTGAGAGATGATGATTTGGCTTTTTTAAAACTTATTTTGGTTTCATTCCAAATTACATTTCTATTTTGAACACGAAGCATAATTAGTGATAGTGATGGCCGGCAAAGTCGGATTCTTCACCTTCCAGTGGTGCCGGTGTAATCGCTCAGTATGCTCTGCATATCTGGAAAGCCAAGAAGAATCGCATCCGAATCGAAGTCGAAAGCAAAAACATCCATATCTCCATTTGACGACTTCTCAATCGTGCATCACTCACCATTATCCTCTGAGTCCCCAACTTCTTTCCAACCACATATCATCTCGCTTCAACGACCAATAAAGGTGTCACCCCAATTCCAGACAGGAGCTTGCCTCATTGATTACCGACCATCGCTTACTACAAATTTACGACGACACATTTAACCGCAAGGAGGAAATTAAGTCATAATATACAAATTTGGGGTCTTGGTTCATGGAGGACTGATGCTCTGATGGGGTTATACATCTTGAGGATGAACAGGCGGCTGGGAAATGGAGCAAGAAGGGGAATAGGTCTCTGAAGACCATACTGGGACTGACATTTTCGAGGGACTTTCAACTTCGGATGTTTCGAGGGCGCCAAGATTAAGATTTCGGCTGATTAGCCAGTAGGACTTCTTTTGTCGATGAGTCAACGGCACTCCCTGAGTCCTGGACGGCACAAAAGAAGTTGGGCTAAGCTGCCATACAGCAATTCCGCTCTGTCAAGACTTTTCTGACATTTCAGCACGACCTTGGGGATGGAGTTGGAAGGAGGCTGAAAAGGCGGAGGGTGAATTTTCCCAGGTACGCATAAGTCTGCAGCGCCCAGCTGGCCGGCCTCTTCGAACGCTTCAGAAAGGTCACTATGTCTTCGGATCTAATCCTAATGTCGGTATTAAGAGAGCTCCGCACCCAGTGGTTTTTTGCGATTTTTCCCGGCTGCCATACACACGAAAACGGCCATCGTTTCGTTAGCTGGAGAGGGGAGATAATGAAGGGCAAAGGGCTCCTCTAAGTGTATGATCGAATGAGGACTTGTGAGGGGTGGTACTGTTTGAGGGGAGCTGTATGGGAGGCATAGAAGGGGATAAACTACTGGTATAGGTATCCTTGGTCTGTAGGCAGATAGGACCTGTATGTCCTACATTGTCATAGACTCAGACAGGACAATAAAATAAATTGATAGTTAATAATCAGTCGACAGAGATTTCACAACCGCAAGAAATCGAACCAAAACTCATCACCACCAACATACGATTCATGAATGGGCTTAGGTCCGTCTGGGGGTCATATTCAAACATCGGACATCTCTCAAAGTTCTTGTATATTCGCGAAGAAGCATTTCTCAGCAGATCCTACACCTGCGACCCACCTCCATACTCGTCACATCACCTACCTACACACGGACTAATGAGGAAATTCATGATGGAAATAGGACGTGTACAAAGGAGGAAAAAAGGGAACATACACCGAGGGATTTACAATTTTGCGTAGGAGTTTATATCTCCAATGACAACGACAACGAAAACCCAACGGTACGATATGAAGGTGAAAGGCTAGAGCAACGATGAGGACTGGGACGACCTTTATATTTCGGAGCTAATGAGGATTCCAAGGGCTTGGGAGCGTGGTTGCCGAGGCTGAGGAAGTGTTTCCGCTGCGGCGTATGTACAGCGGGCTTCTCGACGGTTGGGCTTAGTACGATTCAACGCAGGCGAAGTCTGAGGTGGTCCGGTCATTTAGGTGGGACGAGGCATGTCTGTACTCCATGGTAGTTAACCTGATCCAGCCCGGCCCCAGTCGTGCTCAAGCTGCCATAGGATTGCGGAGGACGCCAATAGCGTAGCATGTTAATGAACAAAGAACAATGACAAGCATTAACGCATCGTTAAATAAAGTTTAAGCCCAAACTGCGTTTTTATTGTCTATACTTCACTTATATTCCTCACCACGTTCGATAATTTCGATTACCATCCGTATTCCTTTAACGGCTTGTTTGTTGAATCTTTGTAGATTTTATACCAAGCATTATCATGTGCCTCCTGACTTGCACGGTGAGCTTATTAAACTAATCATATTTCAAATGGCTATTAAATTTCAAAGTTGCAGAGATGATTTTAGCAGCCCTTGGTAGTCACAGACTCAGCTGGAGGAGAGAGTAGGCGACAATATAAACACCGCTGTGGTTGGATGGTGCGGTGGTACGTCAACTGAGCCAGTCTCCTAAGTAGAGTCCGGACATCCGGGGCACTCATCTCACTTGTGACAGATGATCGCAGGTTCTTTTTATAATTATTTAACGTCGTGCTAGCTCACAAAACAACCAATTTTTTGAAATTCGAATTTTCGAATCTTCACCTTTTCCCCCTCTCCCTCCCTCTCGCGCTCGTCGCATTCTATCAGAAAATTATCATCGAGTCACTGGCATTTTCACCATGCCACCTGTTCGAAAAAAGCTCCCCAACCCAATGTTGGACAACGCGAGAGTCCGCCCGAAGGCTCCCGCAAAAACATCAGGCCTCGCTCAAAAACTTTCAAGTATGTTTGCGAGTGAGGCCTTCATCGAAGGGAAGTCTCCAAACCTTCCCGGTAAAGAGATGACTGATTCTGAGCCCGTCAGGTCAGAGAAAATTGGTCCCAAGAACAACACTCCCATCGAGCTTGCCCCGGAGGCAAGCACTTCAAGGAAATCAAAGGAAGTCTTCCGAGAGAAGACGACAGAACAAGCAGAAACTTCTGCAAGAAAATTCACTGTGCCAGCCCCAAAAGGCACAGCTTCGACATCAGCACCGGAATATCCTCCGGAGCTGCAATCAGTGATGGATGCCGAGAAGCGTCGCACGACGCAAATCAAGGCCCGTTTATCAATCTGTTCCACTACAATAAGCAGTGTTGAAGCAGCACTCTCGCCTCTCTCGATTGGCGACGAAAAAGAGTTTGTAGACGGCATCAAAGTCTACCTTCGAGCGACCATTGGCCATTTCATACAATCCGGCCCAGGGAGCACTCTACCAGCTCTCCCTGCGCGCCCCAGCAACCGTCCTCCGCCGAGGGCTCATGAAATCAGGGTACCTAACCCTTCGACAACCCAGGCTCCGGCCCAAAAGAAAACTTGGGCGAATGTAGCCCGAGCAGGCCTTGGCCACAGCACTGGGCCATCAACAAAAAAGGCAGCCCCGCTCGCTTCAAAAGTAAAGGGTGCCAATACCAGGATAGCGGTAGATACGCGACTGTTTCTACGCCTCGATTACGACCATCCCCACCGACTTCTTGCACCAGCTGGAGTAAGATCAGCTGTATCAGAGGCACTCGGTACCGCGGCTAACAACATCACGTAAGTTCAGCGGGTCAAAACAGGCTTTACTCTAACAGCAAAGGATGAAATCGCTCGAAAAGAGCTCCTTGATTCCTCCGTAGAAAGGAGAGAATCAGGAATTAAATTAGAACAAGCGTCAAATCTGGTTGCCCTACTAATTGCCACCGTCCCGCTGAGAATTAATACGCTCACAGGTTCCGTTTTCATCACGGAAAAGATGGTCGCCGATGAAGTCACGCGAGTGACCAAATCAGTTTCTTTTCTTGTTCGTCCTCACGGGACCTCCAAACCAGGGGCGCCATACCAGAACTGGCAAGCGCTCTTCCCTCGCGAATCCACGCCCCGACCTGGATTTCGCTTCTTCGATGACTCTGGAGCTGCAAAGCTCTTCCAACCTCGTCGAAATATAGTTCAGTGCAAACGATGTCTTGGCTTCTATGCCTCACGCGGTTGCTCCCGCGCTCCGGCTTGCTGAAACTGCGGATCAAAAATGCATTCTGAAAAGGTATGCAAAGCCCCCATACAGTGCCGAAACTGTAGTGGACCTCATCGATCGGACTCGCGGTTCTGCAAAGCCAGACCCAGCAAGTTCGGCATGGTGAAAAAAGAGCAGCTTGCATTAATTCGCAAAGCCGAGCAGAAAAATCACGCCGATTATTCTCGATTGAAAGCTACAGCCGAAATAGCCATTCAGGCGATGTATGGCTCAAAGAACGACGTCTATATGTCGGACGGATCGGGTTTTGGGAATCTGGAAGCCGGAGAGGAGGTTTAAGGTTGCGGCCAGCCTCAGTGAAGTCGTTGAGGCTTCAACATACTAACAGTAGGACACTAGATGGAAAAAGGGTGCCTGCGAGCTCATCTTCTGCTCTCAGCGAAGGTCAGAAAGTGTCACTTGGAAGATGTGACAGGAAAGGGAACGGGCGAGAAGCGCGAGATCCGGACCTACAGGGATTTCTTCTAAATTTGATTTTTGTTTTTGATTTTAGTTTTTGTTTTAATTTTTTGTTTTTTGTTTTGCTGTTAACATCATCATTTATGTGGAAGTTCACGCGGTTGGAATGAGTTGGGCCTGTATACAGTGATCCTGACCGGCTCCACCTGTCCTTGACCCAGTGTGGAAAAAATAGCTTTAGCTTAGGACAAAATAAACAAAACAAACAAACAACCTTAAGGTCTCGTGCTGGCCAGCTCAGTCTACATAAACTACCCGACGTGGATCGCAGGTTCGATTACGGCAAAATTGCACTACACTCCTCGCGGTGCTCGTGTTCATGGATGACTGAGGCATATTCGGATATTCAAAGGGTTTAAAACTTCTCTTTGGTGAGTACTTAGGGAGAAACGAATGTTCCGTATAAAAGAACACAGCCTTTAGTGATGTTAGCAAATAAATTGCTTAATGAGATTATGTCTATATACAGAAAAGCGAGGTATTGGGATGAATTTTAGATAACCTGGATATATCTCACCATATATTTAGACTAAATTAATTAACTAACAAACGTACATTCACGAAAGTCTTTTCGTGCCCTAAATCCCAGAAGGTTTCTCACAAATTCGATGATGTATTTTTGGTAAAACATAGAGTAGTGTCGAGTATCCTCAAACTTCATCTATACTTTGTTGATTATATTCCGTACTGCCAATTTTTACCCAGCAAATATTGTGGCTCAATTAAGGATGGTGTTTACTTTACGCAATTCTTTATGTCAAAAAATATGTCCAGCCCGTATCTGTGCTTCAACAACATGCTTAAAAGTTGTAGCTCATCGAAGGCTAGTATCTGTAGTTTTTCTATGGCTAATTTACTACCGAAATAGTCTTATGACTCCTCGTACATTTGTGGTAAGTGAGTTTTAGTATAGCCAGGTTCTTTAGTACGCGGGCAGTCAATAAAAAGAGAATATAGGATAAAGTGCTAAAATTCTAGGATTGTAAACTATAAACGATGAATTGAATCATATTAAGATGATTCGTATACCCAGCCTACATATCATTTAAATTTGCTCCTTTTATTCTTATGATTCATCCTGTGTTGCATTTAGTAGGTTCGCAACTAAGTAGGCGATAGTATTACTCAAGTTGTATTTTTTTATCGTTGACTGCTCCCGCTCCACACATTTTTAAGTAAACCGTCACGTTGTGCTAATCGATTTAATGAATCATCACTTTCACCCATGGCGCGCACGAAACCTGACAGGGCATAGACCTGACTTTCTCCAGTGATGCGACCGTTTTCATCAACTTTAGCGACCGATATTTGAACAGAAGCATGATCTTTGGCCTTTATGATTCGGTTTGTTGCACTGCACTTGCGTGGTACGTAACTAGTTAACACCATATCAGTAATGCGCTCGACAAAGTAGAAGTCTTGGAGGCTTACAGATCGACGAGTTCTCCCTTATCGTTTTCCATAACTGCAGGTTTAATTTGATATTCACGCGCAAGCAGCGGTCTTAGTAAAATCGGAATGGATTGATTTTTTGGCAACTTGCTAGTTGTGCATGTAATATCCAGCCTTGAGTGGGCGCTAGCGTCTAAGCGACCAATTCGTCATCACATGATGTCTAACAGTGGCCAAACAATTTTCCACGTCACGTTTGTCTCTGTGAACTCAATGTACCTTCCTCATTGGCCTTCACATGTTTGTCAAATTATCAGTTCCGGTATCTGATGAAATTTACCAATTTGTCGCGAATCAGAGCTAAAAGATATCAAAAACTTAAGAAGAGAGTAGATAGCAGATTTCAGAGCCTAGGGCCCTTGTAACGCCGAAAGGCTCAGCATCACGTTACCCGTTCGCTCGGGCACTATTGGTCGAACGCGTACGTAGCAAAACAATAAAAAATCACGTCACGATATTATTAAACCAACAATCAGTCGCCCCTGAGACCTGATGGACAATTGCTAGGGCTTCGTATTTTTATGCATTCAGATATGCTAGGAATATTTCGCAAAAAATGGCACCTGATCGTAGTTACCTAGTGATGTCTTCCCCACCGAGACAACACGAAGCTTTTGATTTATCATCATCGCCTCTTCCGTCACTGAACGAGCTTGTGAATAGTATATCTAAAGATGCGTTTCGAGGCAATGCAGTTTCAAACACGCTTGACCCCTTGTGCAGGTCTAAATCAATGGAAACCTCAGCACCAGAATCACTTCACATGATAGGGGGTTCGATATCGGGAAATGATTGGTCAAACATTCAATCCATTTGTGGACTAAATGTCGAACCAAAGCTACCATTAAAGGGTTTCGAGCCTGATGACATGAATGAAGAAATCAGCATCTACCATGGGAGATCAAAAATCATTACAAAGACTGTAGAATTAAAGGTACAAGACGAATTTCCTTCACCGGGGTCTAAATGCTTAAAAAGCATTCAGATAGATGAATCAGGCACAGAAGAGAATCCTCCACCTTATGAAAATTCAGGGTCGGGGAGAGAACAGAATCTGGGAATCTTAAAAGATAAATCAAGCTCATCCAAAAAAGCCAAACATCCCAAAATCTTAGCAAAGAAAAATAAAAGAAAAACAAATCCAAAAATAGGCTGTAACTCAGAAGCGAAATTCCCAAAGGGAAAAGTAACAAAGCTTTCTACTTCTCTAGCTTCTGTCCCAAAAATGGATCAGTTGGTTGCTGGGACTGAGCTGCCTGTATTGGACACGTCAGGACTTGGTCTCATGGATGCTGTGAAACGACGTCGGGACTGGACACCTCCAAACAAGCCTAATTCATCATTTGATACCACAGAAATTGTAGCTAAATGGCCATCTTCCTGTGAATCCCATAAATCAGGAGATAAAAAAAGTAGATTTTTTGATCTATTTGGAAAATTTGCATTTTCAGCATCTGATTCGACCATCGATCAAAAGATAGCCCCAAAAGATAGGGTGGTAAGTAAACGCAAAGAGATCGAGCTTGTTAAAACAAATAATTCCTCCGCCAAGTTGTCACCAGTTAAGAAAGCTGCGCGCAAAAAAAAAGCCACGACAATCACAGAGTTATCAACATCTTTTTATGCCGACACTAACCCTTCAGAATCATTATCACCTAAAGATCTTCCCGTGGTGAATTTTCCAAGCAAGAATATCCCAAGATTGAAACCCTCTGGTAAATTGCACTCCAAAACTAAACCGAAATCGAAATCTAAAAATGCCAAAATCAAGGAACCATCTCTTCTTTCCCCTGAATCAGCCTTGAAGGAGGTTCATAAACAGGACTTTGTGTTTGGAACTTCAAGTCAACTCGCTATGGATGATTCGTCGACATATATGCGTAATATCAACGAGGCCATCCAAGAGTCTAATAATCTCTATGATCCATTCAATAGCTCACCTACTGCAACATCTACATTAGAAGGAGTGATAGCAAAGAGAAATCTTTGGAATGCCGCATCAAGAGACTCTGCTGGCAGTCTTTTGGAGACTAATATTGTTGATCTTGAAACTTTGTCAGATGATGTGTCTACAACTTCTGGGCCATCATTTGCCGAAAATAGTGAAAAAAATTGCTTCACATTTAGTAGTTCAGCTGTACCTTCAAGAAATACTATCATTTCATTTGAGAATAATGATATAGAAGAAATAGCCCCAAAATATTTGCAAACTAGCTCTCCTCGCCAGAAACTAAATTATCCCGACACGTCAAAGAATAAGGATCAAATAAATAATTCATGCAAAAAACTTTGCTCGCTCCCTGATTCATCCGCCCACAGAATAGAGGTTGAGAAAATCCCTAACTTCAATTCTTATACAAACGCACAACTCGCAAAAGAAATTTCGATGTATCACTTTAAGGCTATAAAGAAAAGGGAGCAGATGATTAGCCTCTTAGAAAAGTGTTGGAGAGGTAAGCAGCAGATTAAGATGGCCGTAGCAAGCACTAAATCAGCGATGAAAAATACTACTCAATCGATTAATATAGATATATACCAAAAACACCGGATAGATTATTTTACTGAGCCACATGAATCATCTCTAAATTCATTGAAAATACCTGCTACCTCAAAATTTATCCCCGGACAAGCCAACACTCTTAATCAAGTTGAGAAAAATAACGATGTGAAATTATCACTAGATGAGACACCTACAAAAGAATATGGCTCTGGTTTAACAGTTGAAGACTCTGGCTCTGATATAGATATTAACCCGTATCCAAGCGGTCAGAAGGTTCAGCCTAGGTCCTCTATATCATCATTATCGCAACTAGAACGTAACAACGATGACACAGATCTCCTTTTTAGTCATATAACCAGCGCTATCAAAAACACAAAGCCTTCAGATGACTGTTCTAACCCAACCTGGTATGAAAAAATGCTGCTATATGATCCAATTGTCCTAGAAGACTTGACTGTTTGGTTAAATACAGGTGCACTTCAGGAGACCAACTGGGATGGAGAAGTTGAGCTGAAAGATGTGAAAAAGTGGTGCGAGAGCAAAAGCATATGCTGTCTCTCTAGAGAAAGTTTGAGAAATGGAACACGATGTCGTTATTAGTAAATTATTTGGAGAATTTTGTTTAATGCTATAGCAAATAATTGGGTAAATTCAAGCAACTGCTTCATGCTAATGGTACAATTCTAGGATGCAATTGAACTTGGGCTGTTCGACTTATTAGTCCTCTCGAACTAGCATTGGATAATTTCGAGAGTCAGAGAAATCCAGTATTGGAAACTACGTTAGGAAGCCCGATATTTTGTATTATCCAAAGGTTACGATATGATAATTTTTAGGGCTCTCTCACAATTCACTTATTCTTAACGCACTTGTTTACACATGTTTTCAGAAACAAAATATACTGGAGCACGTGCTAGAATATATAAGGCGCTCCAAGCACTTTGATTACGGCGATTAGTGAATCAATGAATACCTGCAGCGAAAGCGGGCTGGCACATAGTGTCCCATATTCCTAAGTTGAGTAAGAAGAGAATATTCTAGGCCGTCCGCGTTTTAACTACCGAAAAAATTGTGCAGAGAGCATAATTAAGGGATTCCAGCAGATGGTCTGGAATTATCAGATACGAGAAGAGATCCAAGTAAAGCAATTGGGGCTCACAAAACAAAGCGATTACGGTGGACAGTGTACATTACAGGATCAGGGGGGTTTAGCAAATTATCGATTTATCCTACTCAGAGTTAATTGATAGTCAAGATCTAAGTTAATATATTCTACAAGTATGCTTTCTTTTTAATTCTGATCCATGTCAGCTCAGCCACTTTTAGGGTCGAATAAAGCGCCGTTGAGACACTTACAAAAGCTGGTTGCCAGCAAATGTTTCGTACCAAATTTCGATTTTATCACAGTGACAGGTTGTGAGCTAGTACTGCTGCAACTATGGCTTCTGGGTTAGATGATCAATGTGTTAGATAGTTGCTGGCACAAATACTCCAGGTACAAGGGTATATTATGTAATCAGTTAAGCGATCATGTAATTGTACGAACCACAATATACCAGAATAATAGGAAGAACGTTGGAAAGTAGTTCAATTTGCTTTGTACCAAGCAAAGTGAATCTCTCAGTTGCTGAATCATTGTTTTGATGACTCAGCCATACCACGAACTGTACGTTCGCAATGTTCTTAGATAGACCTGAATAGTATATACCTAATTTTGCGCTATTTTTAAATTTAGCATATTAGGCCGATTGGTGTAATGGCTAGCACGTTGGATTCTGATGCGGATTATTCCGGAGATGTTGGTTTGTTTCCTGCATGTGCCTTCGGTAAAGCGTGACTAAATCTTTAGTCCTTCATAGTCACAGACTCAGTAGGGAATTAAATTAGATTCTATTCTATTCTTTTGCATTGAACTAACCTTATGTATACGTAAATTTGTGCCAATCGAAAAAGAATGAAATTACTAATTTTCTGTTTCGACATCGTATACTAGTCAACACCTCCCGACTGATGCGTACCAACAAGTACTACGTCAAGTGGGATTAACAACAAAAATAATAATGTCAAGAGACGGCGACTTAATACCAGTGAGTGGTGTCTCATGTAAACCTTCAGTTCTTTCAAGGACTATGGAGATCTGTCGCCAAACATTCAACGTCACTCCTAACCACAGACATCACGGAGTAGTTATTTGAGACTATTTCCCGCCATACACCCTCTGTCATTAGTTTTTCTACACAAGACGACCTTTGAATTTTTATGAGCCGCCATTGATTACTTCGTAATCATCATCTGACCAGGTAATGATGTCCTCAATCAATAAACTCAACAGAACCTCCTTCGACGCTTCTGTCACAGGATATTGATCTGATAACTTACCGTCAAATTGTTTAGAACTAGGCACTGGCTCGAATGACACTATAACCGATGAGTAATCTCATCTAGGACAACGGACTCTCGGATACGAACAAGGTACACGGACTGGGTATAGCGACATTGGAGTTTATCATGTTCAATATTATTCTACCCTCGACTCTGAGCCTGATGATGCCGATCAGGAAAAAGAATATAATGGTACATCATATAAAGATGAAAGGTTGATATACATTATGCTAACATTTCTCTCTTTTGATCAATTTATATAAACATACCATATAACAGTAGCTCATGTAGATAATCAGGAATACAATGGATAGTAGAAATTGGTCTTTATGAAAGTGTGAGACATGAAATGTGTATATTTGTGCACTTGACTCCTTTTAATTATGATAGCTTTTCCTTCGTTGATAATGCCTATAAATACTTTGAGCTAATCACACCTATTCACATTGGCCTTATCCTTGATTGGTGTGTTAAAGATTTGATTTGTCATTACTTATGAGCCTCATTATGGCCAACAAGATGAAGAATAATATTGTCTGCCATATAAAGATAAAAGATCAAGATGACATTGAACAGGAGATTAAGTCAAAGTAAATAGCTGTGATTAGCCCAAAGTAGCTATGCACATTATCAATGAAGGGAGAACCTGTTATAATTGTGAGGTATGCGGAAGTCATATTGCGGAGTGATGAGGAGTGGATGGTTATATATTCAGTGGGTGACAGTGAATAGACTCATACAATGCTGTGCTGTGGTCACATGGACAGAAAGGATAGAACTAAACTTGTATCCATTTATTGTGAGTACATCTATGAAAGTATATATGTGCTCGCCTAGCCAGAACACTAGTAACATATGGTGTGGCCTCGGCTGCTTCAGTGACTCATACCATAGCAGAACCATCACAATGTGTGTGATGTGTTTATTAAGCTACTTGAGTCTATGACCATGTAGCACATTGGGCTTCTCACTGACCCAGGCCGCACCTTGTACCGTACAATTTGCCTCTTGTGTTCCTTGAAAGATCATTGATATATTGCCCCTGATGAATAGCTATTTAGCTCCGTATTTACCCATGAGATTCGGCCACCTTTTTCATGGAACTTCCTACCCAAAAAAAAAATAATAATAATGGTAGCAATGGAAACTGCGTGCGCGGGAAAAAGTCTCAAAAGACCTGCAAGCCCAGCCAGGCGAGGTCTAGACACCGAGACCTCATGATGTGCGCATATTCATCTACATCTCCCTTCTTTGTAACAGTCGAGGCCGACTTGATCCAATCCACCATCTCCGTATAAGGTGCTGGGTACGCTCAAGAAACTCATCGGATGGCTTTTCCTCCATGATCAAGGGTTGATGATGAATAAGTCTCCGACCCTACCATCTGATCTGATGGTGGTTAGCTTCATGATAATGGTGACAGGAAGATGTGTTGAGGGATGAAGACGATACAGACTGCGAAAGCGATTGGGAATCCTCGTCGAAGTGAGGACTTTGTTACTCAATCTCGGCTGTGCAGACTCTACAGTAAGAACTGGAGGTTCGTAGGGGATACCACTGACAGGCGCCAAGTTTCGTTCCCCTTGTGGATGTATAAGAATAACGAGTAGGATAGCAAAGGTATGTCATTGCTCCATGCGCGGCAATCAACTCCTTATTAGGACTCATTGTCAGAATAAGATTCTTGTATACGAGTGGTACGTAAGTACTGGAAGTAGAATTGATAAAGTATTGAGTTAATCTATCGTGTATGATTCTCGCGATCGCAGCATCCTTCAATGCTGCGCCCATACTCCTATTAATATGTGTCTGCCAGCCTCGGCTATGCGCTAATACGGAACTACTAATACAGGTTATCTAAGATCTCTAAACGCCTTACCATCTATACTCCTAGGTAAGTAATAAATACAACCATAACTCCATTATTTTCAGGTACAGGTATTATTATGTTTGACCAACAATCTTATAATTCAACACTCATGACACTTGCTAACCCACAGCGCACTATTTTCCACTAATCGCAGTTGAGATGTTCCTAGATCACAACAAATGGCCGCTCGAAGATAGACTTTGCACTGTCTATAAATTCTCTGTTTTCACCTATCAAGAAAGGCGGAAGTTCTGCCCGACAACAGTTTTTTTCAGCGGAACAGATTGCAAGGCAAATTGGTATTATCGCCGTGTGACGCTCTTTGGCCTCTGCAAATGAGTGGAGCTATGGCAGGGATTTTATCAGTGCGGTATTGACTATGATTTTCGAAACTGACGCAGTTAATTCCCTTGCAGACGGTTCCGCAGCCTAGGTCACCTTCTTTCTGACGACTTCCTTACCTTTTATAGAGCTGCTTGTCCTTGGAGCCAGTTAGATGGGTTTCCCGGTCTCGGGACCATCGATTTCTCATCTGACATGGTCAGAATCAATCATATCTATGTTGAGAAGGATTTTAGACTTCGAGAAATTCCTCCCTCGCAAATTTCCGTATAATTTTACTCGAGAGCCCTATAGGTTTTGGACAGAATTGTCTCCGTTAAAAGCCAGCTGAGGTTGTCAATTCTAGTAGATTGTTCATCGCTGGAGGCACTTTGATTGCCTCTATCTAGTCATCATTATGAGAATTCAAGCTCAGCAATGATTTAGAGGAGGGAAAAGCGCAAGATAGCATGTCCGAATTTCTTAAAATCGTGACTTTGCCTCCATGTCGCTTACACTATATCTATTGTGCACAACTTTCACTCTAATAGCAATAATCTAAAAAAAAGACGGTATTTAAGACAATTTCTTTATTCTCTAAAAGCATTTCGTACAATATCTTACATGGCTTTTCCAACAAGAAATTAGATCTACTTCGTATGAGTAGATTCGTCGCAGGTTGTCCATCGCTTTTTCATGAGCATGAGCGAGATTTGGGTCCATCTACTGCTGTTATATTCCATGGGTTTGATTAGTTATAACTTCTTTGTAGCTCATGTTTTAGACCGGGAACGTGCCAAAACCACTGCTGCTAATAGCAATCTCGTTGAAATGTCTGAATATCACTCTTTGTCTTCACTACATTCTGGTTCCAGAGGAGGATTCTATTTCCAGGTTTGCATAGAACATTTGTGATTGGTGCTCAGCCTTCGTTCACCTACGACGGATTGCTGTTCGAGCTCTTGTAGATTTGGGTATGTAAGGGCGCGGAACATCTTCGGGTAGCTCGATGGGAAAAGGCTTGATAGAAGATGAAGAGATTGAGCGTCACACAGGCATGGACTTGAGCTTCTTAACGTGAAATCAAGATAAAAATAAACATAGTGACTGTTTAATTATATTTACATACCGGCGCTAGTAATTCATGAGGCTACCCATAACATTGCCTTCCATTCAGAGAGTCGCTTTCAGACTCAAAAATACATTAATACAAATTCTCATTATTTGAACAAAGAGGGAATAAATTAATTAATTTCAATGACCAGTGCTGACTCAACCCCAAATTCTATTAATCAAAGTAACCAGGAATGCCTACAATTTACACTGGATAGGAGGAGCGATTTGCTACTTTCGTGTAAACTTCTGCTCCTTTTCTCCTAAAATTTTGCCAGTTTCATTCTGGTTCTCGCCTTCGTCACTATCATCGTCATAATCACCGATAACATGCTTTCCACCTTCTTCATCTTCGTCCTCATATAATCGCTTTTCCCGCTCATCGCCTCCTTCGTCGTCGTCGGCATAGTTTTCATCACTTTCATCTTCACTTCCTGCCGCAAAAGCATCGTAGAGTTCTCCGGCACGCCGCATGCGTCCTCTTCCATTTGCTTTCAGCCCGTTTAAGCCTTCAGCTTCGTCATCTTCGAGAAGATCAAATTCCCACTCGTCTCGGGGATTGTTTCGGAGATGCTTTCGTCGCGCGATAAAGAAGTATATGGCAAGGCCAAAGCAGAAAATCAAGATCAAAGCTGCTGCCCCAAAAATCCAGATTTGTGTTTTAGGCGACACACCAAAAGTAGGGAAAAATGAAGGTAGCCAAGTGCTTGGTACTGCAGAGACATTTGGGGCTGGCTCATTAGATGTATCAGGTGCGGCGGTTGGCAGAGTAGTTTTATCGGCAGTTTCCGTGGGCTTTGGTGGCTTCTGGGGACGCTCTGGATGATCCGTTGGGTTTGCAGCTGGTTCAGAGCTTGGTGTCGGTTCTGAGGCTAGGGAAGTGGTTGATGCGGCAATAGTAGTTGTTGAGATTATGACTTGATCATGGTTATCATCGTCATGATCAGAGGGCATAGGTAGTATGGTCGCTTTAGAGGGGTCAATACACTCTCCCCAAAGCTTAAGGTGCCAGTCAATAAAAGTGCCGTTGAATTTATTGACTTCAGAGTCTTTAACTACAATTGTCCAGGTGCCAACGCCAGATTCACCCCTATTGAGAGTGAGACGCATGTCTAAAGTGAGTGATATCACACTTACCAGTGAGCTACAGACATGAAGGTCCAATCATCATAGCCTTTATTCGATGAATCCTGGCGGCGGACAACTGATAGGTGACTGACAATCTTTGCAGGGCTCACCAAGTCGGTACTTAGGTCACCACGTTTTCCATGCTTGATGTTTATTGTTACAGTTACATGCTCTAGGCGCTTTAGATTAGCATTGCTAAGCATTTCTTGCGTTACCTCGAAGGAAACTGCTAATCCGGCATCTCCCTGAGGGATTTCTTGTTTGACATGAATCCAAGGGGCAAAAAACCACGCTTGTGGTTGGACTTTCTGGTATGTCTTTGCTGCTTCGATAGTGGCCCATGTATCTATCTTTCCGTATCCATATGTGTGGCTATACTTTAATCCAATCGAAGTTGTCTGCCATTCCCCGGTATCGAGATCAATCGGGAGTGCTGTCTGCATGACTAGGTATTGCATGTCCCGCCATGTGAGATCAGATCGTACCTGTAGAGCGAGGGCAAAAATACCGGCTGCTAGGGGTGCTGCAGCTGAGGTTCCACCGTGTCCAGAGTAACATTGATTGGAACCAACGTCTGTTGTGTGCTGAGATGATTAGATCGAGGAATAACTTGCGTCCAGAATCACTTACAATGGCGTCTCCACTTCCACTGCTATATGTTACAACAAGCTGTGCAGAACACTTTTCAGAATAATAGGGATGTAAACCTTTCCGATCGATAGCTCCAACAGTAATACTGTATATGCTATTAGTGTAACCATCAAAATTACAGTTATCTTCATTTGCGGCACCATTTCCAGATGCGAATACATAAATAGATCCTAAGCCACCTCGACCGTTTTGTACTGCGTTAAGCATTGCTCTTTTAATCAAAATCCCAGGCGCGTCCATAGATTTCCCGTCATCAGGAGGCCCCCAAGAACAAGAGTAAATCTGATTCCTTTCGTATGCGTAGTTCAATGCAACAGCTTCGTCTGCATCAGATATCTGCTTTGATAAGATTCTAATACCTGCAACCTTTGAGCTCCAAGCAACACCAACTCCGCAGACATTATTCCTTACAGCAGAAACTTCACCTGCACATCGTGTACCATGTCTATCGTCGGATAGTTGGGGTTTGGGTTCTAGGCTGTTGTCATTAAAATCGTAGGAGCCTTCTGAAAAGTAATTTTCTTTGAGGTCATCGCTGTACATGTCCAAGCCATCGTCGACAATTGCCACTGTCGAATTATGTCCCGTAACACCTTGGAGCCATACACCTGTCACATTGACATCGTGGCCTTGTTGTACGACGTTTAGAAGATGCCACTGATCATTGAAGATGGGATCTCTAATATCTAGCTTGTTAGCTATTTCAGATTGTTTGGCTACGAGTTCTGGGACCGGAGTATCCCGTCTTTCTATCGATGCTTTATGACCTCGGGGGTTGGGAGCGACCAGGCCCCTCTTTTCCATTCGAGGTTTTACTTTTTGTTTTTGAGCAAATTTAACGCCGTCAAGCATATCGATGTCATTGTAATTTCTTTTAACCTGTCTTCTTTTGTTTAAGGATATTTGCACTATGTCTTCTTCTTGCTTCTGACTTGAAAAAATATGGTGATCGGCTAAATTTCCCAACTCGCCTTCATATACAAGTTCAAGCCTCGCAGCGACTTGTGTAGGTGGTATTCCTGATTCAAGATGTAAAACATAATAGTCCTGGGTGTTGTAGTCGCGTGCACGCTTTGTTGTGGCAGAACATAATTGGCCTAATCCTACAAGGCAGAGTAATGAGTGTAATCTCATGGCGTCAATTCGATCGTCCAATCGTAAGAATTGCCAAAGGAGGACTGTTCAGTTGATAAAGTGAGAATTTGGTACGGAGGCAAGTAGCAAAAGAAATGTTGTCCCAGGTTCACGCATTGATGTTTGCGCTTGGAGTAAGGAGACAGCCCGATAGTAGGTTTAACATGAAGGGTTCCGAATTTTTGGAAATGCTGGGAATTAAGAATACCGTAATCCGTTTGACTTGATGAAGGTTCGCTTCCTCAGAAGCAAGTGAACGCTGGCTTCATGGAGGTGCTTCTAAAAGTGGGCACCATTTGTCCTACGTTTGGCGCCAGACGCTAAGGCCCATTGCTAAGCAAAGCTAGGGCAGATCGTCGGTACTCTGCGCCAAGAGCCATGCTAACAACCCAGCCTCTCCCACTCGATTCTAATCCTTGCAAAGTTACAATTAATAACCCTCGCGCGATCCAATTTTTTTTACGCGTCTCCAGCCCTCATTTAGACGAGGTTCAAAGGCAGTCAACAACAGGGTATGTTATTTTTCGTCTAGTAAAGTTATATGGGCTCTAAGACACGAATCGCAGTTCATTCAGAAGTGGAGTCGTGCTTGGAAATTTTTAAAAATTGTCTACCAGCATGTAAATCTGTTCTGGTCGTGTCATCGAAGGATTTCTAACATATCGTAGACCACAAGCTGCCATGGTCGCACCTTATTGGGGAGAGTTGCCGCCTCAAGATTTGGCAGGCAATTCACACAAAGACGACAGAATTGCACTTCACGGCAGTGCAATTAACTATCACTCGGCTTCACATGTCCAAGGAACACCTACGCTCTCTATGCAAAATGCCAAGCCCGAAATCCATTCACATTCAACGCAGAGCTCTTTAGCATCCCCAATTTCTTCAAATTTTTCAACAGGACTAGCTCCTCGACCCCCTTCATTCACCACCGGTAATGTAGAATACGGTCAAGGATTTGAAGATAGACGCAGGCAGAGGCGAAACCGTCACAGGAACCAAGTTTTCGATGAAAATAAAGTTCTAAATGCACCCCCTCCGACTGCACCAGAGGTACCACGAAAGCAAATAATTGAATACGATCCCCTACCAAGGACCGAAAGGCCTTCGCTCTATCATACAGCAACACATCAAGGATGGTTCGAAGAACCACAAACTATGAATGGATATAATTTTCTTGGACAGAGAACGGCAGATGCTTCTTCCCACACAAGCATGGAGGCAGAACAACCTAGCGCAGGCGGGAGACTCGGAGGCACAATGATGTCTAGATCTAAATTTTCACCGCCGAACCAACCTCATATTTCACATCTTTCGCGAAAAAGTTCCACCAGTGAAGAAGCACTTCAAAGTAAGAAACCGCAGCTTGTTACCGTAGTGCGAAATGAAGTTTGCAAACATGGTGGAAGCCAATAAATTCTTACTATGCGTCAGAAATAACAGTGATACTGACCAAGGATTTAGGAATTGAGTATGCGCCAGACCGTTCACCACTACAGAGGCTCGAATTGACCCTCGATCGCATAAATAAAGTTGAGAAAAGCGATCACGATGTACAAATAGACCACTTTACAAGGGAAGCAGAGGTTACCGACTTTGCAGTGAAATCCAAGACAACTCTCGGGAACCAGTTTATACCCAATAGCCACGAAAAATTACTTCAAAAATTGACAGCAGTAAAGAATAACACCGCCTACGAAAGCCGCTTAGCAAATAATGATATATATCCCGGCTCTAGCAATGAGTTTTTCCACCTAAAAAAAATGGAGAAGACTTTGCCACCAAAAATGAATCAAATTCATAGCCTGGAAATGCCCTCCTTAAATTCTGTGGTATGAAAATTTTCTTACTCTATTATCTTGCAATTTCTGTAATCAGTAGTTATGGCTTTACCTTAGAGAATTGCGTGACGTGAGCTAACAGACTAAAGTATTCTGCCACACCACACGTAAATGCAACCTCAGGCCAAGATAGCTACTCAGAATACCATTATGGATCTGATCTGGATAATCATAATGGTATAGCGCCCGCCGTCGGAGGTAACAATTCCAGATACGACAAAAATCATGTAAGTTTCCGTGTCGCTAATTCAGACGAATCAAAAAAACTATATGAAGCTGCACGTTCAAAAGAAGGTTTAAAAGTCGAACATTTCCAGAACGCCGAGTCAATGCAGGGAAAAGAATCAGAATACGTTCCTCAACAAACGAGAGATAAAGAGTTGCCCAAGCTTCCGCTAGAAACATCCCAATCAGGCTCCACCATAAGAAATAACAATTCCAGGCTGGGTGACTACAAATCTGCACCGCGGAGAACGTTCAGTAAATTATCAAAAATTGCTAGCGAAAAACTGTCACCTAAGTTTCCTAAGAATGAACCTATAACACTAGATGCATCTCAAATAGAGGTCAAGATTGAGAATAAAGCCAGGAATACTACCCCTCCAGACTCAGAAGAGGTTTATATCCAGAAATCGCGTTTCCCAAAAAATATAGATCAACAGTTTGCTAGATCTCCCGTTCGAGAAGAAAATTACCCTAGCCAAGACAATTTTGTTCCATCTCCAAGACTCGACGAATGGAAAAAAGGCGGTGTCGCTCAGTTGTCAGGAACATTTTTAGAGCTCTGTGCAGAGGACCAAAAACTTGGTGCGAATAGTGACAAAAGTTGGTGGGACTCCGAGAATAATGATCGAATAGTAAATTCAAACGTCGCCAGAAAGGCTGAAGCCTATGAAGGTGAATATGATGACAATATCGGTATGTGCTTTAACGCTATTTTATTCCTGTCTATGAAAGAAAATGTCCGAGTCAAGCACCAAATTTCATGTAATGCCACAAATCAATCCATAGCCCATTTCCTTTCCCTCAAGCTGTGACCAAATATTCAATAGTTATCTTCCTGGAATCCAAAGATTTCAGTATGAATCCTATATGCGGATCCTCCGAACAATTCCACTCCTTTTTTGATTCATTTGAAGTAGCCCAATAGCTAACCAAGCTTGATGCGGATTTCCCGCATCATTATTCGATAGTCCCTACAAGATTTAAACCACCGTTATTCCTCGTCAGTGGACCCATGCTGCGATATTGTGGGTTACGTAGAGAAGTACCAAGAAACTTCACTAACACAACCCAACTTGAGCGGGAAATATGGAAGGGTACTGTAATGATCGTCTGCCAGGACTCTCATTCGTCATATGAATTGGCACCAACCCTTAGGCTATTCCTTCAACCTGTGAACTTGCTGCCTCCTCCACCGACTAGAGTCGATGATTCTGGGCTGGCCCCTGAATATATTGATCCTATAGCTGGCATTTCCCGAATTGGAAGAGATGGACGAACGCTTTACGTACGCCCTGTCGAAGAAATTGATGAAGAAAGGGATCTATCTAGGGAAGAGTCTGCGGACGGCCTCTATGATATGGGACGAAATATGCCTGAAGTTAATTATACCAAAACACCTAACTCTCCCCAGCAAATTGACGGCGAGAAAGCCGGCAAGTATAAAGAAGTCCGTGGTTTCCGGCTACACTCAGAGCATGGGATGACATTTTGGCGCTTTAATCTCGAAATCGAACTCAAAGAAAACCAGCAAAGAATCGCTTATCGAATCAATCGCGGACCCTCGACCGGGTTTTGGGTACCTTCACGCGGTCAGGCCATGAAGATTGTTTTTCATAGCTGTAATGGATTTAGCCGCAACGTAGATCCTAACCCTTATTGTGGTCCAGATCCCATGTGGCGGGACATCCTAAATACACATCAAACTCAGCCTTTTCATGTTATGTTAGGTGGAGGTAATCAAATATTTAACGACGATATCATCCATGAGAGTAGACTGTGCAGAGCGTGGCTCAATATGCGCGATACTCCCTACAAGCAGCAGTTTCCATTTTCCTCTAATCTCCAACATGAATTAGAGATATTGTATCTTAACCACTACTGTGCGTGGTTCTCGCAGGGCCTATTTGGTCTTGCTGTCTCTCAAATCCCTATGATCAATATTATCGATGATCATGAGATATTTAGCGGATTTGGATCCTATCAAGATGATTACATGCGATCACCTGTTATGTCTGGAATTGGTGCTGTAGCTTACAAGTATTACATGTTGTTTCAGCATCAAAGTTGTATAGACGAAGGAGAAGATACTGAACCGTCCTGGGTCTTGGGCGTGCAGCCAGGACCATATGTTCAAGAGTTAAGTAGGAGTATCTTTTCTCGGCTTGGAAGACCGATTGCCTACCTTGGTATTGACTGTCGTACCGAGAGAACATCAAACGAGATAATGAGCTCACAAACATATCAAAAAATACTGGAAAGGTTAGAAAGAGAAATTATAATAGGCGACACCAAACATCTTATTGTTTCGATGGGTATTCCAAACCCATACTTGTGGCCTACGTGGGCTGAAAATATGTAAGTGTCATGATATAAAAATAGATAAAAGCTAAACGTCAGAGAAGATATCCCGCAAAGGAATCTCCTCCATCAAGAATTTTTGGGCGAAAAGAGTTGCGTAAAAAGCAATCGACAGCAAATACACTCGATAACTCCGATATTCCAAACGATCTGGTTGGTAATTGGATTGCAAGAAATTATAAAGACGAGAGAAAGTGGTTCATCGAAGAACTGCAGGACTTGGCGGCTGCCAAATCTGTTCGAGTTACACTTCTTGGGTATATCTGAAATTCAACCTTCCTGCGACGCTTGACTAATAATTATAGGAGTGGGGTTCATATAGGTGCAGTTGGAATTCTATACTCAAATCCTAAACTTGGTATACCCAAAGATCGTGACTTTCGTTACATGCCGAATATTTTCTCATCTGCCATTGCTAACGCACCTGCCTCTGACATTCTCTGCGATTTACTTGACAAGAAGAGCAAGATCCACCATTTAGATGCCGAAACTAACGAAGATATGCTCTCTATATTTTCTCATGATGTCAATGGCCAGCCACGTAGCAACAGGCGATTCTTTAACCGTCGTAACTGGTGTGCGATACAGGTGTATCATTCTAAATCCTGCTCAGATAAGTTAGAACAAAGCGAACAACAAATTCCTCAAACAACTCGTCGTAGCCACAGCCTAATTCGCCGCTTCTCTAATTCCCAGGGTCCAAAATTTTCTCAGGCTGAGACACCATTCTCTGTCATCCCTCTGACTCGCGGTAGGTCCGTCGCAAGTCGACCTCCTTTATCAAATCCACAGTTTTTTAATGATTTCAACGGAAAACAGACTTCGGGTGCAAGCCCTGAATCTCGTCGTGGCTCCATGTCTTCAGAAAGACAAAATGTGGTACGGAGGACTTTATCTTTAACACGTAAAGACTTCAACATTGTAGAACAGATACGACGTCGTAGCAGCAGTAGAAAAAGGTCTGATCAACTTGAGTATTCGGTATATCAAAATGGTCGTAGAGATGAATTGCCCGAAAAAGAGGTTGTCAGGGAAAATCCTTTTGTTGGAAGTAACGAAATTATCAATATATCTTCCGAGGTGCCAAAAATTGCGTCGGAGAATACAAACACGAGTGAAAAGAGTTTACTAAAAACGCCACAAGGAGGCATGCACAAGAATGACGGGAAAGGCCTCGAAAATATCAAAAAGCGCTTTCGACGCCTCTCCATTGGAATCGGTGGAAAAGAAACTAAAAAACACGGCCAATTAAACGATTTAAACCTTGAAAACGGGCTGGATATATGTCTTAACATAGAAATAAGTCCAAGAGATCCAGCTGGCACGACAATTCCTTATAGACTTGTTGTTCCGGCGTTGGTTTACAATGAATCAGATCATGAAGCTGCCGAATTTCACAAGAGCGGAGTCGAAAATAAGCGAGTCCAAGTCTAAAAGACGTGTGCAAATTCACTCGTAATTATGAGTATACGAGGTCAAAAAAGTTGCCAGAATCTTAATGAAGCTGCTACATTTGGAAATAAATACCCGTATGAACTATTACAGATTAACGACCCAATTTTTAACGACATACAATTTCTGCACTTCTAAAAGTTCTGAATCTCGGCATAACTTTAGTTATTGTAATATCAAACAAAATGGCTTTCTAGGTTGCGTTAATCTTAATCACGGATTTAAACCTGAAATGGTGACTAATTCATGGAATCTCTTCCAACGCTTTTACCTAAATGAATCATATCTGGAGACTTACAAGTGGTTTTTTCTGTCAAACTTCTCGTTGAGAATTTCTCCAATGTCTGGATCCAGCAAGAAGTAGGTATTTACAAGTCTCGATGAAACGGTGGTGAGAGAGTTTTATTGGCTTCCACGCTGGATGCAAATTTTAGCGACAAATACTTACCGACGGCACGACCTTGTCTAAGGTAGTATTCTAAATAAGGTCTCGAGCACATCTAGAGATCGTAATCAAGCAGTTAAAATCTCTCAGTGCTATGACCTTGTTTGGATGCTATTTACACATTGAATTCATGCTAAAACCCCGACGCAATCTTCCCGCAAACTTGAGCTGAACTATACATATACAAAGAAGGAATTAGAATGGATGGTACGGGATAATATTTTAGCCCTATAAAGTAATTTATAAGAAGATATAGTCAGTTAAAGGACCCAAATATTCTATATCCCGGTCAAAGGTTTTGGAAACACGATCGTCAGCAAGTTAGAGCCGAAATTTCGCCATCAAATCGACCAGTGCCTTCGACCATGGCATTGGTATGCTTCATTAGGTCTCGAGCTTTCTGCTGTATCTTCAGCTTCCATAGCCTAGGATATGGTAGTAATATGACGGGGCTGGGGGTTTCAACTCTAATTAGATCTCGAAGTTGGAAAGTAGTAGAATACACAATGATGTACAACGATAAAAGAGAAAGGGAATAAGCAGATGGTTCGAAGCGTTCAAGTGAAGTCACATTTCATACCCTAGGTGCCAGGACTTAACGTAGTGAATGTAGTCAGATGGGCCAAGGTTGTAAAAACAAGGATACGGAGGATTTAATGAAGTATGGGATACCTTGAGTTCACTAGACGATTGTATGTGAATTAAGTCGATGCAAGAATGTTAACAGAAACAGACGGATACTCTATTTGTTATAAGTGTAAATTTTATTCAATAGCTTGGTATCCCTATCTAAATAGTTTTCCCTCTCGGATTTAGATGCTCCAAAGTGTGGAGAATAATCTATCTCACATTTAGTCATTGAACTAGTATAAACGTTACGCAGCAGCCCGAAAGTTCATCCACGTATGCGAGAGAGTCATGTACGATCACCTGGAGTAGGCTGAACAGCGAGCAAGCCAGGCCTACCCTGTTAATTGCGTCGGATCACGTCATCAGGACTCGTCTCCTCCATATCCCGGCCGCCATTTTTTTTTGCATCTGACTTTAATTGCGTATGCAGCTATCTAGCTATGACACAGTATCAAAGAAAATTACAGATTGGATGATTCAGCGTTAAGGAAGAGCACTCATGCCTCAGATTTCATTTGCAAGTACCTCTGCAAAGTTATGGCGGCTTTTTCTTCACCCCAAGTCAATCCTCATCCGTGAATACCCACCCAAGGGAACGTCTCAAAAACTCAAAAACTCAGAGTTATCCAGACATGCCTCCATCATCTTTCAACTTTTCTCCGCGCGAAATGCGATCTGAGATGTCTCCTTCCTAAGTGGATTAGGTGCCCAGGCTACTCAGACCATACCGGAGAACACCACCAAGAGGCGGAACACGGATCCTTCCATCGTTGACTTGTTTTTATAGTGTCAGCTGCACTCTCGCAAGCGAAGTCTTGGAGTGCACAAAGCTCCATTCGTAAAACTCTTGCCAAAATTCCGAGATTCGTGGCCATCGAGGTTATATCATTCCTTTGCATCATCTTGTCAACTTGTCCTGATCTCTCTCACGTCCATCCCAAAGAACTGTCTGCTAGATTTGTGCGCCACGCTTTGCTTCCTCCGTCGGACGTAAATATCGGCGCGGGCGTGTATTTGGTGGTCAACTGAGGCCAGAGAAGGTCGGAGAGAGGTGTGGTCATAGGGATGAAGATGTACTAGGTCGTACTTGTAGACTTGATGAGACTTAGGTAGGCGTCAAACTTGTTGGGAGCGAAAAAAGGACGCAGAGGAGTAATTTGGATTTTTGCCTCGTGGGTTTGTAGAGGACACCGCGTACAGCTATTCAGTCTTGCCCTCCGTCGGCCGCCCCACCACGCCTTAAGTTGCACGCGTAACGTGATGTAGCGGTAAGGTGGTTCAGTCACAGTCGCTGCCCATACTTTATGTCCTCACACTTCACTGATCTGTTGTCTAAGGCAAACTTCACTTTCCGCCCGCTTCAAAAATCTCGTCGCGTCTCGGGTAGCGACTCTGTGTACAACCGAAAAAGAGATCTACACACGGCTCTTAGTTCTTTATCTTCCGCAGATGAAGATGGCTACAAAACTCGGTAATATCAATTACATGAGTGAAGATGAACAGCCAGTGATTATTCCTCGCCCACTAAAGGTACGGACGCTGTTACGGACCTGCAGGTTACAGCCTTTCACTATCCTGAACCAAGAAGATGTAAATCCGAAAGTTTTATCATCTTGTTACCCCACGCCTCTGAATCCTTAATCTTAGACATTTCAATATCCTCGTAAAATAGGTTTATTTTTGAGGATCTTGTCTCGAAAGCCGATGGAGGCAACTCGATCACTTCGTTTGGCTTATGTTAGTATAACACATTAACTAATCATGTGACCTAAATCACATAAACCGATTAGCATACAAGGGTTGAGCCCTAGCTGTACTTCATAGTATGAGGTTAGGAGAAAAGAAGTCATCAACATAATCAAGTATATCATAGCTTTACCTACTCCAGTTGAGACGTGATATCACCCTGTAATCCCAAAAGCTTAACTTTTCTTTTATCCAGAGATAGATAGGTTATCAAAAGATATTTTTGGTCTATCAAGAAATAAATCAGAACTTAAAATCAACAAGTGTATTCTTTTACTCGTATCGGCATTGAATCACTATATTTAGGTGAATAAACCAACGGTGATATTCAGAAAAATTATCATATCCACTTTACTTCCTGTCACGATAAAGTGATAAAAACCACAACATTACTTCTATTAATCAGATAAGAATCAAAACATGGGAGATGATACGAGAATGTTAGAGGTTTTCAAGTGCTGTTTGTGTTTGTGTTGTGTTGTTTATTGTACTACTTGAGTCATAGACTATACAGTACATTGGGCTCCTCTCTGATCCAGGCCGCACCTTGTACAGTCTACTTTGCCTCTTTTGTTACTTGTAAGATCATTGATATATTGCCCCTGATAAATAGCCATTTAGCTCAGTTTTTACCCGTGGAATTCAGCCACCTGTTCCACGGAATTTCCTACCCAAAAAAAAAAAAAAAAAAAATAGCAGCAATGGAAATTGCGTGCGCGGGAAAAAGTCTCAAAAAACCTGCAGCCCCAGCCAGGCGAGGCCTAGACACCGGGACCACATGAGGTGCGCATATTCATCTATATCTCCCTTCTTTGTGACAGTCGAGGCCGACTTGATCCAATCCACCATCTCCGTAAAGGGTGCTGGGTACGCTCCAGAAACTCATCGGATGGCTTTTCCTCCATGATCAAGGGTTGGTGGTGAGTAGGGCTCCGACCCTACCATCTGATCTGATGGTGGTTAGCTTCATGATAATTACTATTATTATTAATTCATTTTAATGTCCTGTCTGAGTCTATGAATATGTAGGACATACAGGTCCTATCTGCCTACAGGCCAAGGATACCTATACCAGTAGTTTATCCCCTTCTATGCCTCCCATACAGCTCCCCTCAAACAGTACCACCCCTCACAAGTCCTCATTCGATCATACACTTAGAGGAGCCCTTTGCCCTTCATTATCTCCCCTCTCCAGCCAACGAAACGATGGCCGTTTTCGTGTGTATGGCAGCCGGGAAAAATCGCAAAAAACCACTGGGTGCGGAGCTCTCTTAATACTGACATTAGGACTAGATCCGAAGACATAGTGACCCTTCTGAAGCTTTCGGAGAGGCTGGCCAGCTGGGCGCTGCAGACTTGTGGGTACCTTGGAGAATTCACACTCTGCCTTTCTAGCCTCCTTCCAACTCCGTCCCGAAGGCCGTGCTGAAATGTCAGAAAAGTCTTGACAGAGCGTGATTGCTGTATAGTAGCTTAGCCCAACTTCTTTTGTGCCGTCCAGGGCGCTGGGGGGTGCCGTTAACTCATCGACAAAAGAAGCCCTCCTGGCTAATTAGCCGAAATCTTGGTCTTGGCGCCCTCGAAAAATCCCAAGTTGAAAACCCCTCGAAAATGTCAGTCCCAGTATGGTCTTCAGAGACCTCTTTCCCCTTCTTGCTCCACATCTCAGCCGCCTGTTCATCCTCAAGTTGTTTGTCCCATTAGAGCAACAGTCTGCCATAAGCCATGACCCAGGCTTTATATTTTTCGACTTGTTATCCTCCTTGCGGATATTAATAGCGTCGTAAATATGTAGTAAGCGATGGTCGGTAATCAATGAGGCAAGCTCCTGTCTGCAATTGGGGTGACGCCTTTATTGGTCGTTGAAGCGAGATGATATGTGGTTGGAAAGAATTTAGGGACTCAGAGGATAATGGTGAGTGATGCATGATTGAGAAGTCGTCAAATGGAGATATACATGTGTTTGCTTTCGACTTCGATTCGGATGTGATTCTTCTTGGCCATCCCAGATATGCAGAGCATACTGAGCCATTGCACCGGCACCACTCGAAGGTGGCGAATTTCTCTTTTTATTTTTATTTATTTATTTATCTTTATTTAACGTCTGGCGGATCACGCGTCAAGCGAGTAACCCTATTAAGTCCCTACTGAGACAAAAGACGCCAGGATTTAATCTCTGGGCTTCTACATGTTTTAAAGGAAAGCAAAAAAACAAAATTAAACCATTTAACATATAAAGGAGGTGCATTCACAAAGCTACTTCCCGCAGTTTGTTAGGCTCTTATTTGTGGTGGTAAGATACTTGCTCGGGGCCATTCTCTGCGCAGGTCAACCCACACTCCCTGTTGACCTCCACTGCCGGAAAAATAAATTAGAAAAAAAGGAGTCTAAATTGCTTTTCTTCCTTCCTCCGTTTGCTGGTTTTTCGCGACACTTGAAACCTCAAGATTATGGGCAGATATCTGTGAAGAATCGGGTTACCTGTAGCCATTCTCCAAATCTTTGACCTCCTTCATATGTGCCAAGAATGAACGGGATCATTTCCGAAGACGGACCCTGCATTAGTCGTGATCTTCTTTTCGCTATATGACAGAAAAAGCAATGTAGTGGGGCCTTACGACGGCCACATCGGCAGTAATTTGATGCATTTTCATGATTGAACCGCTCGTGATAGTCAGCGAAGTCGCCGTGCCCAGATCTAGCTGCTAGAATTCGACCTAGAGTGGCGCGCGGAAGGGCAAGTTCTTTTGGCCTAGTGGGTGCTGATATTATTCCTAGCTTTTCGTAGCCTAGGTGCTGGGGAAGGAGATTTCTCCAGAGGTTGCGAGAGGCTTGCGTTTTTGACTCTTTTGCCCAGCGCTTTAGCCCCGCATATGTGAAAGCGAGGTCATCTGGAGTTGGTAACTGGCAGCCATCTTTCGCTGCTTTGTCCGCAGCTTCATTTCCAACTATCGATGCGTGACTCGGAACCCATCGGACCCGGATTTGGCACCGTCTAGTGTGGGCCGGCCGAGAGCGGTCTTGCCATTTGGGATTTAAGGTGAGGAACTTGTCAAATTGCGCTTGTGAGGACCCTGAAAAGGGGAATAACAGTCGAGTGGCAACTTCCAGATTATCTAGACAAATCCATAGATCTGTCGCGAATTTGGCAGTTGGGAGTGCTAGTGCGGACTTTGCCCCCTCTAGAGCACCTTTTACTTCCGCATCGAAAACTTCAACGCCTTTTCCAAGGGCAAGGCGAATTTCTCTTTGCCGACTGGTTACAAGATGAAGATGACCAGGATAAACAGACAAGTCACATGTTCTGCCAAGTCTCGGTGCACAGACCACTCTTGCATGTATATAATATAGGCATTTTCTTGCGCACACGGAAAAGACTAATCTCCCATGTACATGACCAACTATTCTACTTCCACCAATAACCTTCTTTCGTTCAATCTCCATCAGTCTTCTAAAATATAATTCAGGTATCTGTTCTTTGAATATAATTTCAACTGAACAATACCTTTAAATACAAATTAAGCACACACACGAGATCAAGTATCTTTATTCCTCTTCTCCAACTACCCTCATCAGAAGGCAGCTTTCTTTCAGCATTCAGATATCCTTACAATCACAATAAATACAATCAGGCAAACGTCTAGTACCGGATAAAATATCGCTAGACCGAAGTACATTCAATTGGCAAAATGATTATTCCAGTGAGATGCTTTTCATGTGGAAAGGTATGATCCCAGCGATCCTAGAGAGGTATGCGTCTACTAAAACTTGATTTAGGTGATTGGAGATTTATGGGAGCGCTACCTAAAGCTAATCGATGCTCAAGTGTCTGACGGGTCTGTATAGGAAATCTATCGCAAAAATCAACTTATACTGAGATAACTCTAGTGATGCCATGGATCAACTTGGGTGCAAACGCTACTGCTGTCGTCGTATGGTCATGACTCATGTAGATCTTATCGAAAAGCTCCTGAAGTAAGTTTCAGCTTTCAAGTTTTCCTCCCATCTTCTATACTATGGACACGCAATTCCAACTAATTTACAGATACAACCCTGCCGAGCGCGATGCGAAGAAAGCCGCCATGAACTGAGATATTACTGTCATGGCCAAGAACTTATCAGGTGACAGTGCTCTTTGTCAACTAGATAATAGTTCCATTTTTGCAACATACCAGGAGCAAGGCTACAGTGCGACAGTGTTGTAAACAGACATATGGAGAGATTCATAAACTTCGGCTTCCTATGACAAACAGATATTAGTGTCGATGATTATATTAAATCACTTAATGTGTATTCAGCTATCTAACTATAACGAGATGTTTTTGCTTTGTGCAATTACGCACTCACGGCCCCAAGCGTGTGAAGAGGAAGGCAGTTCAGATTTTTGACCATGAAACATCTACGCGTGACATGAACCCCAATCTAGTCTCGGTATTACTCATCAGACACCCACACCTCATGTATATAGAGCTCGCCGTAGTTACTCTTATTTGTCCTACCGTAGCCAATTTATCTTACATTCCAAAGGCTACATGTTTGCCATACTCTTCGTGATGGATATCTCTTTTTAGAGGTCCATTCTATCTGACTCACTCTCATGCTAGCGCAATACACACTTGTAGCCATATACAGTCCCACGGTCCCTACACTGCAGAAGTCTACGACCTTGGAGACTAATACTCCGACAGAACTCACCTACGACCTAGACCCCACAATAGGAAAACTCAAAAGAATGACAATAAACCAACACTTCATGGCTAGTATTAAAAAACCCGAAGAGCTTCCCCTTAATGAAAAACTCAAAAAGTTCGCTCCATCATCCCCAAAAAATACACCGTCGAATCCAGCCAAGATTGAAAAGTTCGATGCAAACAACAAATATTTCAAGACTTTGTTCACGACAATGAACCTCCGCTTCGTGAAATATCCAGAAGACCTCGATACTCCAGAATTGCGCCTCGCAGAGATTGCGGAGCACTATTCAGGTCGCGCCGCAAATTTGATGAAAGCAATTGTAATCGGCGATCGTGAAGACCTCTTGATGACTACGCCGAGTTCATTGCACAGTTCACTAGAACCTTCCAAGACACTCAATACATCTCGCGGATGCAAGACCAAAATGTGACTAGGCATGTAAAAGGCTCCGTCGCCACCTTTGCTACGCAATCTGAAGAAGCATCACATGCTTTGGGTTACCCGTCTAATTTCAAGGTAATTCAATTCTTCCATCACATGCAGCCCAAGACTAGCAAGGCGCTAAACCGCCAGCCAATCCTCAACTGTGAGAACTATGAAATTGTTCGGAGACTGGCAGTAGATGTAGACAGCAGTATCTACCAAGAGCGCAAAGAGGAACGCACCGCCCGGTGACGAACCTACACACCCAATGCCAATCCGGCAACTACCGTCCGCGCTGCGGCAAGACACAACAATACGGAGCTCGTCATACAGATACTGAGAGAAGTCGTCGGCGAACCCATAATCTTTACCTATACTGCGGAGGAAACAGCCATCTGTTGGAAAGACGTCAGCATACTAAGGGACAACGCCGCCTCAACACCGCGGCCTACGAGTCGGAAATTGCACCCTTGATAGACCCTAAGAACGGATTTGTACGTCCTCACACCCCATACTCTGCTAAATTGAAAATCAGGTGCTCGCCCACTGACCTCACCCCTAGGGTTGGATCTCGAAGTCCTCAACTTAAATGCAAAGGGTCAGTGAATGGAAAGGTAGTGCAAGCATTAATAGATAGTGGAGCAGAAGATAATTTTATCAATGAAATATTTTACCAGAACTATATTTCCAAAAATCTACTCCTTTGTCTCAACCAATTATTGCTGCAGATGGCCACATTAACGTGCCTAGTGACAAAGCAAAAACTGTAGAAGTAGATTGTAATTTTAAAGACCTCGCCAAAGGTCAATTCTCATTTGTATCAGCTTATTTGAAACATCAAGATGTCATACTAGGTTACAGATGGTTACAACGCCTGAACCCTTACATCGATTGGATTACCGGTAAAATAAAATGCAACTACCTCCCACCACATCTTTACAGATGAAAAGACAGGAATGGGCCAAAGAGGAACACCTTCCAGTATCCATAAACACCTGAGTAGGGCCCAGAGCAGCGTAGCCATGCAGATAAGAAGCGAACACATTGGGATCAATTCCTATCCGCATAGAAGAAAAGTTCCAGAAGTACATAATTGACGATGCCAATGTGGATATCCGTCCCAGGATGTGAAGCACATGATCATGGCCTGCACCAGCTGGGTCAAAGGTAGAGGGGAATACTAAGAAAGGCAGAGAACCGGTCATTTGAGGCCATGATGAATAAACCCAAAGATATTGCAAGGATAACTAGATGGATCTAGCAGGAAGGGAGACTAGAGCAGTTTCGACTGACGCTTGAGGTCAAGGTCACGATGAGGGAGAGAGAGGAGAGCAGGGTAAAGATGATCTTCTGCCAGTATCAATGAATTGGACGGTATCTGTACTGGACATAACAGTGTTAGTGCATTTCGTGAATGTAACACAAATTTAAAGTGTATGTAAATTGAAAAGTTGAGGGGGTTTTTACCACAAAGGTTTCCTCCTATGTAAATATTAGAGTTCGTAGACATCTGCATGGGCCTTGAGGCGCCAAATCGGGCTACATAAAATCAATTTCAAAAAACCTCCCACCACAAATGCATTCCAAGTAAACAAAAATCATCAAAACAAGGCCGCAAGTACTTCTCTCCGCTCCCCGCATCGTATGTCAACGCAGTGGTGCACGCCTGCTCAATAACGGTAAGGCTATTGCTATGGCAAAGCACGTTCGCGAATTCATCCGCAAAAACACCAATGTCCGACAAAGCGACTACGCCAACACTGAGGAAAGCACTCCGAAATTCGATTGGCGACAACTATACCACACCCTCAAATTGAACACACTATTGAAAAAAACACAAACCTGGTATCGATCAAACCCTACCTAACCACTATACAAAATTTAAACATGTTTTCTCAAAGTTGAAAGCTGAAGAACTAGCAAAAGAAAGGTCAAGTGTGAGCTGCGAGATCATCCTGAAACCAGACGCCTAGATGCATCGCGGAAGAGTATACAAGATGTATGATGCAGAACTCAGTTTACTTAACGTATATTGACGATGGAATCCAGCGAGGCTGGATCCGTAAAAGCAAATCTCCTTGCGCCTTTCCAGTTATATTACGAACTAAGCCGCACAATTCGACCCTACGCCTTTGAGTGGACTACCGCGCCATAAACGCCCATACAATAAAAAACGCGTACCATTTGCCCCAATTAGATGATTACCTAGGCAAGATGCACGGCGCTAGATTCTTCACCAAACTCGATCTACGTAACGCCTTCCATCTGTTACGAATGAAAAAAGGTGATGAGTGGAAAACTGCGTTTATAAGCCAATTCGGCCTCTACGAATACCAAGTCATACCTTTCGGCCTTTGCAATAATCCAGCAACTTTTCAAGCATGAATGGACGACATTTCCCGAGAATTACGAGATACCATGATGTGTTATATCGACGATATCCTCACATAGAGAGAAACCAAAGAACAAGTTATCGAACGTACCTACAAAGTCCTTTATATCCTCGGAAAGAACAGCCTATACGCCAAGTTCGAGAAATGCGAGTTTGAAGTCACGAAGACATGTTTCCTGGGTTACATAATCCAGAAAAGTTGTATGATGATCTGCCCTTCTAGAATCTTTCTCGTCACCGAGTGGCCTGAACCTAAAACTCTCAAACAAGTGCAATTGTTCTTAGGCTTCATCAACTTATACCGCCGCTTCATTCTACAATTCTCGGAACTTGCCCACGAACTTACGGCTCTTACTCGTAAAGAAAACCTTCAATGTCGCTTCGAACCCAGCGAAAAGGTCTTAAAAGTTTTAGAACTCTTCAAGACGCTTTGTGAGACTCAAAAGAACTAGGTATTTGAGATTCTAATCTTCTAGCAATCCTCGAGACTGACGCTTCCTGCTACGCTATTGCCGGCATATTAACACAAGTCGTTAATGGAGTCAAGGTTCTCATCGGATTCTATAGCAAAAAGTATTCGCCCGGAGAGAGCAGGTATGCTACAGAAAACCAAGAGCTTATGGCGATTTGTAACAGCCTCCAATACAGGCGCCATTATCTAGAAGGCGCTCGACACCAGGTAATTGAAATTAGTTCCGGAGATTGGAAGAATTACACACTAGCCTCAAGTTTGATTAAGAGATACGATAAATTTGTTTACTATACAAAGAAGTTTACTGATATTTAATGGATAGTTAATTGTGATTAAATTGCTATAATTCTATATGTGTGGCAAGAAGTCCCTCTATATACATGAAAGCGGGGTTTTCCGCACACTAGTGTGAACTCCAACATACTCCCTAATCTAACCTAAACGGGAAGGTTGTTGGAGATTCTGAAGCCAATGTATACTGTTAGGCATCTATTGGCTAATTACTATTCATGCCAGTGAGTGATGATATGGGTTAATCATATCTCATGGCGCCAGTGCATATTATTCTAATATGTACTATTTGTTTACTGCAGTCATGTTGCTGCCTTAATTACAACACAGGTTACTGTCTACTCAGACCATGAAAACTTCACAACTTTCAACACTATCGCAAACTTGAACTGCCGTCAAGCCGGTTATTGGGCGCAAATGAGTAGATTTGGTTACATTATAGAGTATATCGCAGGAAAAAATAAACCCGCAGGCTTACTTTCACGCCGCAAAGATTATAAACTTACAAAAGATGATGCACCCGAGGTCCACCTATTCCTATACCTCGCTACCATGTCACAAGTTGCTCACGATATTTACAACGTCCTTTTCACAGCTACGGAAACCGATAATTACGTAGCCAAAGTCAATCTTTTGGAAAAAGAATCTAACCTTAAATGGCAAAATAACATTCTGATATACGCTGATGTAGGGGCATACGTACCTCCACCCCTACGAAATCGCATCTTAGAGCTTTGCCACGACTCTCCTCTAGCGAGGCATTAAGGCCAAGCAAGTACATTAGAGAAATGCTGCCGCTATTGGTACTGGCATTATAT